GAACCGACATGAACCTCTCCGTTTTATAACTTCTTGGATCATGTCCAATCCTACCACATCTATAGCAAAAAATTTTGCAATCTCTCATACTTCACAAAAATCCATATTTTATCGTTATTTGGTTTCGGTAGCCAAAAACCAACTATCAAAAGATTTTGCAGATTCAAAATGACTCTGACACGTAAGAAACCTCGGATCAATCTATCATTACACCATGGATCCTCCACCATGACAACTTCCCCCACATGACCACCAATCTGAATAGCATTTGCCAAAGCTATTACTATTAACGAAACATTATGAATCTGAATCCAGATCGGACAAGTACTGAAATCTAGATCCTCAATAGTTTTAGAGCTTGTCCATTCTTGAATATTAAGTAAATGTCCATTAACTGACCATGGGTGTCTACTTAAAATGCGATAATACTCATCATCTTCCGTAAATGTAAATACAAACGCATTGTCCTGCAAACTAGAGATTGCAAGATGAAACCTCCCTGAGGTTAAACACACTTAACTCTAAATTGTGGTAATCCAGGGCTTAACTCATAAGAATTACCAAGTGGTAGGGTTTATAAATAAATCTCAAAATCTATTTCAAGGGAATCCCAATTTGCCATTTCAAATCTCAAATATAATTTAAGGACTTCAAATCAAAGTTTTAAAAACAAAACAAAAGCATTGGAAATCAATTAGGACCTAAATAATGAGATTTAAAAACTCAAAATATTTTTACACAAAATTTGACATGTGCGCCGCGGCTTACGGTTCGCCGTGCGCCATGCGCACTGCATGAAATTTTTACACAAAACTCAATATTTTTACACAAAATTTGACATGTGAGGCGCTGTGTGCTGCGACACATTGCATGAAATTTGATAAATCAGTGCTGTCATTTGACAGCACAAGGAGAAAACTTTCGACGCATCCTAAATCTTCGTCTGACGTCCGATTGATGTGGTTTCGGTGTCTACACTGAACTTTCTCCTAGCTCTAGCTAATGGCACTAGTTTCACACTCGAATTCATTTTCTATGAAAAATTGAACACCAAAACCCATTTTGATATATTTTCACAAAATTTCTCAAATGGGTGTCCCAACTCAACCACATATGCCAATAGCATACACCAACCTTTCGACTACACTCAATGGACTCTTGTGAACTCGTGCAACACACCACATACAATCAAAAACACTTGTTTCACAAAATCACCACTCAACCCTAATTTTCACAAAACATAAAGGGGAGGAAAATTTACACCAAATCAACCATTTCATTGATATTTCTCAAAAATACATATGTTCCTATTTGCACAAGTATTTTGGCCTTAACCTCGGGTTCACAACAAAAACTCACTGACCCAGGGTACAAAATACACTAATTAAACACAAAATCATGCAAGTAGTATACCAATCATGACAATTTATCCTAGTTGGCAATTACATTGACAATTACACATGTAAACAACTAAAAAGAGACATAAAGAGGATTTACTCCACAAATCCTAAGTTTTTGTGTGTTTTCCCTGATTCGAATCCAATGAGCTAGTCCCTGAAGATATTGAAAAATTGAGGGTGAGTACAACCACTCAGTAACCAAGTTTTACTTAACCCTTATAGTTATATATTAATTGCAAATAGATGCAAATAGGCACATAACACATTTATCACATAGTATTGGGCTACGGTTCACAAAACTAATAACCATGTGATCGGGCTTGCCATAAAAAGCTATATCATGTTGTTTTCAAAAACATAACTCAAGGTCGCAAAAATAACAACTATGCGCCCTTAATATGTGTCGACCACAAAACTAACAACCATGTGGCCGGACTTATATGCATGATCGTGTGCCAATCTTGTATCCTCCTGTTACTTCCGACATGAAATCGATGGCTATCACGAGGCTACGTCCTTCACGGACTAACTCAGCCTTCCACTTGTGAGGAGCTACCAGGCCAGGGTTAACTCACTCACTTATGTAATCCAATTTTCCCTAATACTAACAACCATGGGATGTTGTATCCCTAATCTAGCCTCCTCATGAACCGATAGAGACTAATTAGGTTCGAGTCCCTTGTAGAATAAGTGGGACAGTCCCGAATCAACCATGGGATAAGGGCTACCTCCCGATTCCAACGGTCGGTGCCAAGGCTAGTTCTCGGTTCCAACGGTCACTGCCAATACCACGTGGATTTCCAATCAAACTACTCATCTCCTTAGGCAAACTCCCATCAATGATCATGCCATGCACATTTCACACATTTTATGCATTTCAACATTCATTACTCAACACATGAACTCACATAACATGTATACTCCATGTTTTAGCACGTAATTCATCACAATTTTTTTACCCATAGTAATAAATCACAATAATTTCATAAATATCAGAGTGGTAGAATCAATGTTTTCTTCCTCAAAACCATTTCATACTCAAACATTTGCCAATATGCATCATCAAGTTAACTCACAAATCACATTTACAACACAATTAACATTTAACTATAAAAATTAAGGTTTTTCCCGGTTACCTCAAACCTTTGAGAGATCAAAGGTTTACCCCTCACTATAGCAACTTCCCCAAGCTTCAATAAGCTCGAAAGGTGTCAAGACGAACCTCTCTACAACCAAATCATAAGGATATCATCATTATCTAGCTCTTCAAACTTTATCAATATAAAAACTCCTCATATACTATTTTACCAACTCATAACCACTACCTATTTATACCCAATGGGCTCATTAAATTTCACTAATGCACATTATCATTAATAATATCTCAAACCATCATTAATGCACATTAATCTCTCCCAACTACCTCATAAATACCAATTTTTAGATATTAAATGCTCCTATGGACCAACCACTTTCAAAATTATCAATGTGGTGTTTCAATACATTAAATCACTCCCATTAATATCTTTTAACCAATGGAATCAGACCCATACTCATATGGACCGAAAATTCATCTCCCAACTCAAACCCTACCATAACTAATCATAAATGAGAGAGGGAAGGGAAGAAGAAAGACCATAATCTTACCTTGGGTATTTGAAAGCTTCAATCTATCCACAATGGGGCCAAATACCGTGCCCTAGCAGAGCCAAAACCAAGCTCTTCGTTTTCCTCCTTTCTTCCTCTTCTGTTTTCACGCAGCTCACATATCAGATATATCAGATTTTTGGCCGTGCGCTATGGCACACGCTGCCCTCCGCCACGGCGCATAGCATACAGGAGCCCGTTACATTCAAATTGTGTCCGTGCATCGCAACAAACCAACCACGCGCCGCGACATGTGGCACAGAACACAACTTTTCACTTTTTTCGTCCTCTTTCTTTGTTCAGGTGGCCTGCCATCAATCCGGACCCACTTCTAGTGCTGAAATCACAACAATTATGCCAAGTTAAGCCCCTCTAGCACACACCTCATTAACTCACTAACTACTTTAATTAAGTTAATAATTCAGGGTTAAAATTTTTCGGATGTTACACAAGACCTTCCTGAAGATTCCAAGCCTTCCTCACCATTTGCTCAAAGGTAGGCTTATTAAATTCTTTTTCCGATAGTAATTTTCCAACAAGAACATTTTGCTGATCCTCCTTCCAAGTAATCAAATCATCAATTACATTACTAGAATCCTCTACAACCTTTTCACCGAACATTACACCACACCTTCGATCACCACCACCAATCATCATACCACCGTACCTCCACTTACCATGCACTCCCTCAGCAAAAATCCCTCAGCTCTCACGTACACTGTTCGAAGATAATATCAGGCTCTCACTCAGGAGAGAGTCAATTTTGGCCCTTTTTTATATTTTTTTTTCTTATCTATAATTTTTGGGCCCCTTATTGTAATTTTTTTGTCCTTTTCTATAATTTTTAAAGCTCTTTTCTGTTATATTTTAGACAATTAATGATTAACGTTAACTTTTCTCTATGACAGAACTAGATTACACTATTTTCAAAAGTTGAAGAAATAATTTATAGAATAAATGAGTTTAAGATTTATAGTATTACTGAATCTAAAGTTTAAGAATAATTTGTTCATTTATCCAAAATGTAACATTTCTTTTTACTCCAGTCATTTTAAAATAACCAGATTTTAAATTTTATGTTATTAAAATTTTAATTTGATTAAATCATAATTTTTTGATTTGATAAAAATAGTAACTTTTTGTGTTTTAGTTGAGGGGTTAAGTCTAATTTTTTTGAACAGATGTGATAGGTTTTGTTGATTAACAACAAAACTATGAATAAAAGTTGATTTAGTTGATTCAAAAGGGTTTGACTTGTGTCTCATAATCATATACCCACATCAATAAACATGATCAAAAGTAGTGAGGTGTTCGAGAATTTTTTTTTCTTCCTATTTTTGACTAAGTCGATTGCCATGCGGTTCAGTAGAATATGTCAGGAAGTCATATTTTCGTTGGTGGTTTGTTGAGGGAAGAAGGTTTGCTGTCCAAAATGGAAAGTTCAAAGGAGTCTAATTGCTCTTTTTAAAGTTTATGGATCGAGGCAAATCATGAAATGTGTTTTTTTTAGCAAAAGAAAATATGTTTTTAATAAATCATTTTTAAGTATTTTTGTAAACAATGTTTATGGTTACAAGGTTGATCTCAATTTGAACCAACTCACCAACCCTGCTAAAATTTTGTAATATTTTCAGTAGAATGACAGTTAAGTTAAAAAATATATATATCGATAAATAAATTCTAGTAAAAAATTTTAAAAAATATATTATAAATATCAATTTAAATAATTATAAATTTTAGTTATAAATAATAATTTAAACTTTAAATATAATTTTTATATTGAAACATAAATTTTTATTTATAAGTGTATAAATGATATTTATAATTTATTTTTTTTATAAATTTTATTTAAAATTTAATTGTCATTAATTTTTATTTTTTTGAACTTTACTGTTATTTAAAAAATAAGACAAAAAAAGGGATATTAATATATTCTTTGGCCCGACCCGCATTATCCCAGGGAACAAAACCGCCTGCGTGATGAACATGTCAAAACCCTAATTTCCTGTATTCATCCGATCGTGATTCCGATTTGGTCATACAATCCTGGGTTTTTCTCTTTATCTATAATTGCATACTCAACGTCAGATCCGTTTGTCGTGTTATTTTTCTTCAATTTCTCGATGGGGGAAGAGGAGAGGAAGAAGAGGGTAGTAGTGGAATCGCTGGGATGGCTGACGGAATCGTCGATAATGCCCAAGAAGCACCGTGCAATTGCGGGCGTTGGGGCATCGTCGATCATGGAATTGAAGGCTCAGCTCTACAGGTCTCAGGAAGAGTCCAAGAAGTCTCGGGAATTAGCGGGCCCGGAGGTTGAGTACCAACGCGCAAAGTCGAAGATTGTTCGTAAAGATGCTTTCTCCGCCAAGAACTCGGGGGTCGATGCCCGTGCTCTCAAGTATGATTTTCTTTTTTATAATATTTTTTTTCTTCAATGATATTCCCGGTGCCATTGTTAATAGTTATTTGTATTGGATTGAGTTTGGAAATGATAAAGCTTGGCTGGGATTGTTGGGCTCGTATGATTTTTCTGTCTCCTTTGTCACGCCCTCAGGCTGAAAATTGCATCTGTTCTCTTTGCTATTGATAAAATGTTGGGGGGAGGTTGGTTTATGTATCAAGGCTTAGTCTGTATCTATACCTGTATAACTAATAAATCTACAGGATTGTTAATAAGCCATGGGTGATCATCGTAGCTTGCTAGATGGAATTCTTTGAAATACACGGAACCCCACCGTTTACATACTATCAACATCTCTAGGTCTCATTTTCGACTAAAATTGAAGACATTTTGTCTCTGTAATTACTTTTGAAACTAGGAAAGAGTTTTTGGAACTAAAAATGAATTGATTCAAGCGTTGTGCTTTCAAAATGATGTTGGTTCTTTTCGATTAATTTTAACATAAAAGCAGTTGAATGTGGCTTATAAAATTTATGCACCAATTTCGGTAAGTAGGCTTTAGTTGGATCCATAAAATGTTTTTTTCTTCTTACATGCGTTGAACATGCTAGCTTAACATTGAAAGAGAGGATAAGGGTGAAAAGATTGATGATAATTGATGAGGCTTCAAGTTCCATTTGATGCCTAGTATTACTGATTTATGTGTGTTTATCTCAATTATGCTAACATTTCTGATGGATCTATTCAGCTTGTTCTTGTTATGCTGAAACTTCAGTTGCTACCATAATGCAGGGACAAACTTGAGCTAAAAGCAGTTGAAGACGGATCAGTTAGCTATGCAGCATTAGAGAGAAAAGCGGAGTTATATGATAAGTTGGTGAAGGGAGATTTGTCTGATGAAGAGGATAAAGAAAAGTATTGTGTGGACTTTTTCAGAAAGGGGTATGAGCAGGATGAGTCACAACCACCACAAAGCCATGGTGTCTCTCAGACAGCACCGCAAGAAAATGAAGATGGTGATAATGATGCTTCCGTGTTGTTTAACATTAAACCTTCTGCCCGAGCAACTGGAAAAGCTGACAATGTTGAGCACAAGCGCTTTATTAGGTATGAGATCAATGCTCTTCATGTATTGGTTTAACTCAATTTAAAGTTTCTTGTTCAATATGGAAATAGTTAGAATACGACCATGGAAAATTTAGTCTTTTGATGGTTCTGATCGGGAATTACAAATCAAAAGTTTTTATATGATGGGTGTCTATTGCCACAGCTCTCTACTGGATTGTGATCGAGCTTGCTTATTGAGTAGAGTGTATAGATTATTTTGCTTTCCCTCTGTTCTTACTCCTGCAATGCCACCACTTACTGCTTTTTTTCTTAGAACAATGTATTTAGCTCATGGCAAGTGGTGGCATAAATTGCTGTGGAAAGATTTTACTACTTTAGTAGGACAAGTCTTTCCTATTTGGACTTCTTGAATAAATCAAGTAATCATGAGAAAAAGACCAAAGTAGGCTGGGCAGGTAGGCTCGGTGAGAAGTCTTGGTTTGGATGGTGACGATGCATATTCCTGAGCACTAACTAAGGACCAATCCTTACGTACCTTTTATGTTACTGTTAGAACTGTTTTATCATTGAGTTGCTTTTTTGTTAATTACTCACTTTTTTTATAAGAATAATTACTCTCTTTTTTCTCTCATTTGTCATGGATAAAATTATAATCAATGCCTGTATCGCTGATTCTATAAATTTCCTTTTGATTTTGATCTGCAGGGAAGTACATGAAGAAGCTAGTCGAGCAAGAGAAAAGGCTTCTGACATAAAATTGCGAAGGCAGAGCAGGTGGCTGCTCATCGAGAGAAACTAAAGCAGCATATCTTCGGAAGAAGCTAGATCAAATGAAAGCTGCAGCCAGTGGATCTGAATCTCAGGACAAGCTCACATGATAGCCACTGAGCCTCTTTCTACCCCAATTTTATGATGACCAATGTGCATCAATCTAGCAGGCTATCTTGGACAAAAGCTTGAGGAGCCTAATGGCTTGGTCTTATGCATCTTAAATGTGTTGCAGATTAAAAAAGGAAGAAAAAACTTCCAACATAATTTCTTGATGCTGCTGCAGCGTTGTGTATCTGGCTGCATTTATTGTAATGAAAAATCGCGACCTGACAAGTAAAGAGAAAGGAAGAGGATGAGCGTCAAGGAAAAACCCTTTTTGCCCTTGTACATAATGTAATTTGAATGAAGGGTTGAGTTGTGCTTGGAAACGCTCGTCTCATTTTTGTGAGGTAATCTATGCCGCTATACGGTGAATCAATACTTGTCAGTATATGCAGAAATATTCTTTGGGATTGAAGTTACACCGCAGATCATTTTGATTTGTTTTCCTTGCTGCTTCTCTCTTTCCCAGAGCTACAATACAAGCAACATTTTCCTGAAATTGTATGAGTGGCAATGATTCAGTTATGATGTGAATGACCATGAACAATCGCTGTTCTTCGTTGGGGGACAAAAAGGTCAATATCTACGTGTATTAAGTGCATGCAGAAAAGTTACCAGATAGTTCAGACTTTAGAGTTTAGAGATTAAGCTTTTGGAATAAAAGTCACCCTTCAGATCATATAATTGGTTACGGTGGTTTCCCCCCCCCCCCCCCCCCCCCCTTTTTTTTTTCCGGGAGTTGTCAAGCAACAGCCTGGCGAAGTTATATGGAAGTGGTAGACTGGCAGTGACGAGCCGATGACCCATATGTGATATCGTTTAGTTATTCCTCGGGTTAAAATCGGTGTCCATAAAAGATTAAGGTTAGAACAATTAATTTATGAAATTCAGGATAGTTAATAATTTGTTAAAGAAAAAAAGTTTATATAAGTTGGATTTCTCTTTTAAGGGGGGCCAACTTATATAGTAAGCTTTCGATGGCTTAGAGGGAAATAGAATTCGAAATGTAAACAATTTTTTATCACGGAAAAACACGCGAACTGTTTTGTTTTCACAATTTAACTAGGGAAAATGACCAAAAAATTCATTTAAATTAGATAAATGATAGATTAATCTCACAAAATGGTATAATTTTTCTAGAGTCCCTTAGGATTTTTTTGTCATTAAGGAATCAAATAAAATGACAAAATTGCCCTTAAAGTAAACAAAAATTTCAATCCTCATTGAAGAAACTTGCGAATTTTTCTAGTCCATCTCGGATTCTCAGGTTCTCCATTCACACCTTAATTTGTGGTATTCTTCTGGTCCGTCTCCCTTTCCTTCTCCATCTCCTCCTCCTTCTCCTTCTCATTCTTGTGTTCCTTTTTTTTAGTTTCTGTACATGGGTTGTTTGTTTTGTTTGGCTGCTATGCGTGAGTACATATAAACAAACATTCTTCCTCTATTGCGTTTGATGTACGTTGGTAAATTTTCTCTCTTCCTTAAAATTTTCTTCTCCATATGTGATAGTTGAAGTTGATGTGAGTTATTGTGCGTAAATAATTGAAATCTTCATTTTCTTTCCATGCTTAAAGCTGAAAGACGTGGGTACTAATGTTTACTCAGAGGGTATTGATAAATTACAATTTCTTATTGAATAGTTGCGAATTTAGGAACAAAACTTGTTAATATTAAAACTAAAGTTGTGAATGAAGACTTATAAATTTTCAACTTTGATACATGTCTCAACTTGCACACCATGACTTATAAATGGCTAATAAATTATTGCGAATTTAGGGACAAAAGTTTTTAACCTAAGAACCAAAGTTGTAAATGGAGACTTGTGAATTTTCAAGTCTGATACTTGTCTGGACTTGCACATTAAAACTTACGAATGGCTAATAAATTATTGCGACTTTATAGACAAAAGTTGTTAACTTGAAAATCAAAGTTGTGAATGGAGACTTGAGAATTTACAACTTTAATGCTTGTCTAAACTTGCACACCAGGATTTGCGAATGATTAATAAATTGTCGCGAATTTAGGAACAAAACTTATTAATATTGAAATCAAAGTTGTGAATGGAGACTCGCGAATTTTCAACTCTGATGCGTGTCTGGGCAAAAGTGTCATTTCTTTTAATTCCCTAATGATAAAAAATTTCAAGAGACATCAGGGGAATTATATCATTTCGTGGAATCAATCTATTATTTACCTAATTTAAATAAATTTTTCTGCCATTTTTCCATTAAACTATTTATGAAGTGCAAAAAAAAAAACAGAAGAAATATTGAATTAAGTATCTAAAACAATAAGAAATGTCTGACGTAAGTACTTATTGTCTGACGTAAGTAACAATCAACGTATTGTAAATTTGTAATGTACGAATTAATATAGAGTAATTAATAATTAATCCAAAAAACTAGTCAACTGGTTCGATTCAAAGTTTGATATTGAATTTTTTTAATATGAGGTCATAGAAATTTAAGTAAGGAAAGACATCAAGATATGATTTTTTTTTTTTTGGCCAGAATCAAGATATCATTAAACTCATAAGTTTTGGCACTATGAGTATATCATCAAAAACCTTGATATCTAAGTTGCTATTAGGAGCCTGACGATAAACCAATATGTACATCTATTAATTTCTTGTTCAATTTGATTTACTCTCTAAGTGTGACATGAAGCCTTTCATATTCAATACTAATGGCCATATTGTTTAGTGCCATGAAAGCTTCTCTATAAATAGGGTTGGAAATAAACTTAGCTAAGTTAGTTTTTGATCAAATAAATCTAAAATTATGCGGTAGGCTTGAAGCTTGAGTTTGTCCTGAAACCTATATAAAGCTTTGATACGGGGGCGAGAGCGAGATTGTGCTAGTTCGGGACAGAACCCGAAACATGAATAAGAGATAGAAAACAGAACAAAGAAATGTAAAGAAGAAAATATGATAATGAATGAAAGCAAAGATAAAACAAAATGATAAAGGAAGATAATGATAAAAGAAAAAAGAAAAATTAGAACACTTGCTTTTAATAACCTTAGCCTTCAAGACACCATAAGAGTTGATCAGACTCTTATTCATACCAGTATTTACCTCAATTCCGACAAACAAGCACAGCTCACACAGAAAGTTTTATCAAACTCAAGAGAAAATTCTCATTCATAACTTATCTTAGAAGAGTACATAAGGGAGCCTATTTATAGGCAAGATAGAAGACTTTAGAATCTCTAACCCTAGATGACTCTTTCCATAATGGCACCATCTCCTTAAAAAGGAACATTTCTTATTTCTTGGAGATTAACAATAATGGTTAGATGAGAGAATTCAAAACTTTCCTAATAACAAAAGTCTTGCTCCCTAAGTCAAATCATCTAATAAAACCATAATAATGAAAAGGACAACATTATAGCTCAAAATCAAAAAGGAAAACAAATTAAGTCTTGAAATTTAAACTTAGAATAAAATAGGAAACAATTTGAATTCGTATTAAAGGCTTGAACATGATAGAGATCACAGCTTCTCTCTCCTCATTTATGATCATAAATGGCGCCTTCTCATCTTCAAATCAGACCATAAATGGAGTCCCATTCTTGACCACAATATCCCTTAATCTTATTTAACACATGATGAATTAAATAGGGGATCTTTAATGTTGTAAGCAAGTGTGGATCTTTTTCATTGAGCTTGTTAGACGTATGAAGCTCATTAAAGAACATGGGCCTTGAACTTTTTTAATGAGACTAGTTAGAGCCTCCTTCATAGCTTTGGTTCGAGCTCTAGTCATTGAGCCTCTTATGCTTTGCAATGAATCCTTAGGCACATTAAACTTGAACTCTTGGACTTCCCTTAGGCTTGGCACGCATACTAGCTCCTCTTGGACCTTAAGCATGTCCTCTCTCTCCTTATGTGGACCATGCTCTATGTGTGGTCCATCAAGCTTTTATTTAATAGCTCTAGCTTGAGCCTATTTAAAAGTAAGTCTTTTAAATAAGATTATATATTAATTTTAAACGTCTCAACATATTTTAGAACTAGAGTTGGTAATTTGGGTGAACTTGATTTATTTAGACTTAACACAAATGAGCATGACTTGAATAAGTCTGAATTTCTTGAAAAACCTAAATAGCTAAGCTTAGCTCGAACACCCTCATTTTTATTTTAAAATTTATTTTAATTTAATTTTTTGCTTTAAAATTGATTATTTTTATTTTATAAAAAATATAAAATATACTTTTTGAATACCTAAATGGTGTATAAGACTCACAACTTTTTTTTTAAAATATATGGGTCTTAAAAATCTAAAAATCAATATTAAAATATATTTTAAATATTTTTTGAGATAGTTTACAGATTAAAAATAATAAAAATATGACAATATAGATATTTTAATTTTTTTAAAATATATATAGTAATGCACTTAGATATATGGTATTTTAGTATAAAAAGATTTAAAATTTAGAAAACTAATTAATATATATATTTTATAAATATAATTTTTTATCCAGGTATTTGAGTTAAACCTAAACCCGATCGAGCTTGGCTCGAGTTTTTTTAAGCTTACTCAAACTAGCTTGAATATTAAAAAATTATTAGTTTATTAAGCTCGGCGCTAAAAGAATTACCGACTCTATTTAGAACTATTAAAATATATAATATATAACTTGATTTATCAATTACAAATCAATATATAAATTTAATATGATTAAAAATATAACTAGCCAAATAAAAAGAATTAGATTGATTAAAAATCAAATGATAAAACTAATGTTTGTGCAATATATTACATAATATATATAGGTAGGCTAGACTTTGTAAAATAAATTTAGCCTATTTAATTAAATAAATTTAATTAAAAATTTAAATTTAATTTATTTAGTAAATAGATTAGATTGGAATTGAAATAAATTAGTGAGTAAAACCCTGATACGAGCATGTCAATAAGCTGGGTGGGTTGAACCAAAAAAAAAAAAAAAAGAAAGCTGGGCGGGGTGGGGTAATGGTTACATGTGAATAAGCTGTTAACTTGGAGAATCTAATTAGGAATGAAACTTGCACCGACTGTCAGGATGGCCGAGTGGTCTAAGGCGCCACACTCAAGTTCTGGTCCTCGTGAGAGGGCGTGGGTTCAAATCCCACTTCTGACATTTTTATTTCCGAATGATTTTTCCTATTCATCCGATCTTAATCAAAGATTCCTCAATTTCTCTGCATAAAAACTCCTGCTGTATTTCATTTATTAATGACATTTTTCCTTTTTCCATTAAAATAATAAAAAGATTCCTCAATTTCTTCTCGTTTTTTTTTTTGGTGAAAGATTCGCCAACGTCACTGACTCACTTCGATTCGATCCGCTCTCCGCACATTTCAAAATGAAAACGAGCCGTTTTGAGAATACAAGTTGCAATTTGTATGAAACCGCCCATTTCTCGTTTGAAAATCGAGCCGCTTTGGTCCTCCCTCTTCGTTTCTTTTCTTTCACACTCAGAGACCATCGCCAAACCCTTTCATTTCAAGGTAAATCTCAACTCAATTTCCTTCTCTTTCTCTTCATTCCTCTCTCGTGGCCTTCCTTGGATCCGTCTTTATATATGTGTCACTCTACGTCTCTCTGCCGGATAATGGAAATGTCGTCTTTGTGTCAGAGTTAGATTTTTCCGATCCCATTGATTTGATGTTACATAATATAAAAATTAAATATGAAGGTTAGGTATGCCGGAATCACGAGACAGACGGCTACAGCCTGTGGACATTGCGGCAGTATTCAGTCGCCAGAGATCTGGTGCTATTGGCATGGTCGATGATGAGTTGGAATCAGCTTTATTTCGATCCACACCGAGTCGAGAAAACACTATCTGGACGGCCTCGGGCCAAGCCGCCGGGTTGGGAGTTATGCGAGCTGGGGGGAACGTCAGCGGCGGTTTTGTTAATTCGAGAACCGGTTCACCTACTGCGGACCGGAACAGTCCGTCTTGGACTGATCGGCGGGTAAGGATCCGACCATCGCGGAGCGTGCTACCTTCTTGGTACCCAAGAACTCCTCTTCGTGACATCACTGCTGTTGTGAGGGTAATAAGCACCTTTTTTCGTTCGTCCTATATCTGCTTTTGAGGTTTATTGCTATGCAAGAAAACCCGTCATCCTTATTCAGATCCATATTTGTTCGGTAATTAATTTTGAGAGGAAATTCTTGTTGTTGTCTTACTTAATCCGTGGAAAGCGTAAAGAAATTATGTACAGAGGTTCCGAAATTCTGCATGTTTTTAGCCTTAATGATCTGACATCAATGGTGAATGGACATGTATTGGGGGCTGGAATTTAATGTGAGCAAGAATGATATCCAATTAGACGTTAAATTGTTCTTTGAATCTCAGTTGGATAGCTTGTTCTTACGAATTCAATAAATAGGTTTAGAATTAAATAAAATCTACACTGACCGACAAGGGAATAATGCACTAAAACCATACGAGAATATTGTTTTTAAACGCTTTCCAGAACGGGGCAGTGTGGTTATTTGGTCAAAGGGTTGCCTGTAGAATTAAAGTTAAGACGGCAAAAAAAAACCCAAAAATTGTAATCTTACATTCATGAAAGCCTTGATATACCTTCTGGTCAATTTTATCAAATAACTGCATCCTTGCATGCCTCCAGTTACTTGCCAACAGATCCCTAAGCATCTTACATTTTATCTCAGACTACATGTCGACCAGATGAACCAATTGTCATGTATCATGCTGTATGGTTCCAATTGTTTTAAGAATCATGTTTTTGCTTCTTTTAGTTTCCGAAAATTTCATAATGTTAACTAACATGGATCTTTGCTTTAGGCAATTGAAAGGAGAAGAGTTCGCTTGCGAGAAAGCCGAGGCCAGCAACCTACGAGTCCATCTCCAGCTGATCAATCTCTTGCAAACTCTCCAAATCCAACCAATGGTCACAAGCTCCGGACACCTGCTGGCAGTAAGTTCCCAAAACTTTTACTTGATATCACAAATCAGTCCGATGAAAGATCAGAATTTCTAACACCACAGAAGAAACTCCTTAACTCCATTGATATGGTTGAGAAAGTTGTGAAAGAAGAATTGCAGAAACTAAAGAGAACACCAAGCGCGAAGAAGGCAGACAGAGAAAGAAGAGTTCGCACTTTGATGTCCATGCGCTAATTTTGAGGTATGCTATATTCATAGTGGGACTATTGAGCTGGAATTGGAGAAGCAAGCAAGACCTTACTGCGTGATTTATCATCCTCTGATGATACTTTAGACCTCGTTTTTTCAGTTGGATAGTAATCAGTTTCGTGTGCGTTCTAACATTCTTGCTGAACGTCTTGGAGCAAGATTAGTAAGCACATACATTTGGTCCTTGATAGGTTGGGGTAAGGATAGTACGTATCATTCAGTCAAAAATGTACATAAAGCGTCGGATTTCCATTTTCATGGCAGTACTTGAGAATGAGAACTTTACTTTGTACCGTTACGTTAGCTACCAATTATGACCAGAAATTGTTCTTTTGTACCGTTAAATCACCAGAATTGTCATCTAGCTCCACTCAAGCTTTCTTGTTTTCATTTTTAAACACTTATGCCAAATGCCAATCCAACTTATCCAAGCAGTCCACGCGATCAACAGCTTTAGAACATGCCATATTGCCTGACCCTATAATTTCTGTGTTGGCTAATCATTTCCATAATTTGCTTACCGATAACCAATTAAATATTCCATTTTCCTTGTAATTTGCATTTCCAAGATTGCTGAACTGAAAACCATAGAACATACTCAAAAACTTGCGCATAATAATTGTATAAATATTTTGTAATTTAAAATTATAATTACGATATTTAGACGAACAGCGAGACGGAATGTCCCGAACAAGAATGACCTAATCTAATTGATATAAAGATGGAGTGGTCTCCATGACGTTTCTCCAAGCCATACTCCAACTCGTTCAAAATTCTTTTTGTGGACCTGTTAAAATATAAATTTAGCAATATCTTCTATCAAGCACACGAAATCCTTTGAATGAATTTTCTGCATTTACATCCATATATGCAAAGCTGAGGTAAAACATATAGGTGTTATGTTAGTTTGTGATAATTGGCAGTTAACGCGATGCAAGAAACAATCCTAGTTCATAACACCAGAAAAACGGATGCATCTCACTAAATCGACACATGGTACTAAGGAATCTTAGAAACACCAGTGTGTTTCCTTACAGCCACTTGCAAAATTCACCCTATTCCAGTTAGATGTACAATGTTTATCCTTCATATTTCATCACAACCATGCCAAAAGATAGTCAGTTTGCTTGCATTTTACATCAGATCTATAATTCTAACGTCCAATCCCTCAGAGACATAGTGATTGGAGGTGTTAAGCCTATTTATTGCAGATACCCTTAGGATCAGCATTCTTAAGTATCCAAGGATGCTCCATAATCTTCTGAAGTGATAGTCTTCTTGAGGAATCTTTCACCAAGAGCTGCATCAGTTTCAAAATTGCAATCAGAAAATGGTAATTAAATATATCCATTGAAAAGATTTGCTAATATAAAAATAATATAAATCAGATAAATGGAGATGAATATGAATAACATAAAAATACCCTGCTAATCAGATTTTTGGCTTCTGAAGAAACAGAAGGAGTAGAAGGGAAGTTTAGGTCAATCTTCATTATCCTGCGTAACGTTAAATGCATAACCGTTATAATAGTTTGAGGCATAGAAACTAATATGGTCAAATCTAACTTCAAATAGTATAAAATACTACTAGCGCACGTGTGTGGTGGGGCAAGCGTGCATACGCACATGGTGATTGTTAAACTCCTCACCAACTAGAGTGTAGAGATCAACAATATCCACACTTGTTTGGACCAAAACTCTCACTTTCCACAAAAGACATAAAAATAGGGGCATACACTCTCTCTCTCTCTCACACACAAGGCTTTAAAAGGTTATGAAATTGGTTAAAAAGGAAGTAATATTGGTGTCCAATATGTATGTGTCCAAAACAGGCCTTGGCAATATTGGTGTCCAAGCATTTTTTTTTTCCTTTTCTGTTTTTTGGTCAAATATACTCGCCTAAAAAATGGGTGTATTTGTGATTTATAGCTGACATTAACATTTATCTACAACACAAAATGGGCACATGCATTTGATTACCTCTTGAAGGTATCAACTTGACTCTCAGCCTCAAATGGGGGAGAACCATAGAGGAATTCATAACAAAGAATACCCAAAGTCCAGTTATCAACAGAAAAATCATGTTCTTTATTTTCTACCATTTCAGGTGCTAGATAATCCAAAGTTCCACACATGGTATGTCTCTTACTTCTTGACTGTACAGACCAACCAAAGTCTGCAATTTTAAGCCGGCCCTGCAATTAAAGCATGGTCAAACTAATTGCATGGGTACCCTTGAAACAGAACTAATATAATAAACAGGAAGCAACTAGTTACTGAAAGGTTTCATATCATAACTGCAAAAGAAATCAATATTTTGAGTATCAAATGCTTCTCGATTTTCTTTTAACTGGTTACAGTCTTTGTGTGATTGAAGAGAAGAAAAGGAAAGGAGTTGGACACGAAAAAGAAATTGGCAAAAGACAATTACATATACTTTCATGCACATGTCAAATTTCAGGAAAAGAGAATGAATATTCAACCAAAATCCTGATGAGGCCAGAGATGTAAACATTATTTGTAGAAATTGCAAACTTTGCAAACTTGGGATTCAATTGAAAAATCCAATTCTGGCTGAGTTGCTGTAATTTACAACAAAGAACATACAAATAACAGAGGTAATTTGACGTACCTCATGGTCAAGTAACAAATTCTCGGGCTTTATATCCCTATGAATGACATGTTTCTCATGACAATATGCCAACGCCTCTGTGAGGCTCAAGATATACTAAATCATCAGGAGAAAAGAGTTAAAAGTCAATTCAACAATAAGAATGGTCCAAATATAAGGAGCACAAAACAATACCCTCTAATAAGATGTTCAGATAATGAAGAATATATTTATATAATTTTTCTGTCAATTTCAAATCCACTTTTTGCCAAATCCTTCTCTTTTCGAAAATTTTCCAGAGCAGCCTTATTCATTTAATAACTACTATCAGCAAAGACATCACGGTTTGAAACTTGGTAAACATTTCAGAAAATGCCCAAAGTCCATTCAATCTCTTTTAGTTACTTCATCAATTAACTCACAAAACAAGCCTTAGCTTCCTATGCTCTAATTCAGCTTTCTCAAAACTATTTAAAGTAACGCCTGGAAGGATAAATGTGCATTCTCCAAATACAGGACGGCGAATCTTCCTCCTAAAAGAGGCCATATCAACGCTAAGGCTCGACAGTGAATCAACATGTCAGCATGATAGAAGAAGCAGGAAGGGCAATGTGCAGCAAGCACAAGGTGACAAAAAAGGATTACCGTGGCTGCTTGCTTCTCAGTGAGATGACCTTTCTTTCTGAGCTCCTTGTAAAGCTCGCCACTATGAGCATACTCAAGTATCAAGAAAACCCGTTCGGCATCATGAAACCATCCATAGAGACGCAGAATGTTGGGGTGGTGAAGACTAGTCTGAATCTCCATCTCTCTCCTCAATTGATGATGAATTCTGTACTTTTCTATTTGTTCCTTGAAGATAACCTTCAGAGCCACAATATACTTGCTCTGAAAGGAATTAATCCATAAATAACTATCTAGTCGAGTTGGTAATTCCAAATCAATTCAAAGAAGGGGACAAGTGAATATCACATGTAGATCCAGCACCAGCAACAAAGAGAAATAATAAATAAGGGTCCCTTTGGCAGTTATGAAAGTATATAGAAGCTAGCCAAGTACCATTCTACCATAAATAATAACAGCTAACAGCTTCCTCTCAACTAATACACATTAAGGAATTCATGGTAAGAAATCACCAAACCAACAGACAGAAAGAAGTAAAGGCTACTTCTTTGGTCCACTGTAAAAATGAAGGAAAACCTTCAAAATTAAAACTTCAACCCAGACAGAATTGCAGTGAAACATTGAAAAGGAAAATCGGATCTTTATTAAATTAAAAATGACAGATCAATCGAACCAGCATAAAACAATATGACTATTTTTTTTTCTATTAATTCCTAGAATCTTAAGCGAAATTTCACCGCATAAGTTGCCGAACGAGCCAAGCAGAAATTAAGGAAAGGGAGTTTGTTAAATCAAGTGAGTACCTTGACTTCCCGAGCGACGTAGACTCTACCGAATTTCCCCTTTCCAAGAGGTTTTCCGATCTCGAAATCTCTCAAGGACCATTGCTTCTTAGGGTTGTCTTCTTTGGGTTGAACTCGGGAAACCATTTCGGTGTTTGGTGATTCCAGAACTGAAATGCGAAAAATTAAATGAACAGATTACAGTTTCAGAGAACTTGTGAAGTGGCAACTAATGGCGACTGCGGGAATCAGAACCAATCCGAACAATTAATCGAAGATGGAATTCGCGGAGCAGAACAAGTCATCAAGTAAAGCAGAAGAAGAACGAAATGGCAAGGAAGCAAATTTAAATGGAAGAGCGCGAAGACGATAAACTCTGTACAATTTACGTATAAAAAATTCAGTAATTACCACTCTCTCAAATTACAAAAAAGTTTTAAACAAATTTTTTTAAAAAAAATATAAATTATAAAAATATTCTTTATTTAATATTTTATTTATAAAAGAATATTGAAGAGAAATAATAGAATAGAAAGAATAATATTAAAAAATATCATTAATAAAATTTTATTTTTATTAAAACATCTTATATTATAGGATGTCAAATCTCTCCTAAAAGTATCTCACAATTTAAAATTGAGGTAATACTAATTTTTCTTATTATTTATTATTTAATCTTGTTACTTTCAACTACTTCACTAATCTTAGTTAACCCATTAAATGACTAAATGTTTTAAAATAATATAAATTTTTTTAACTTTATTCCTATTAAAAATATGAAGAGAAATATATAATATATAACAAGTTATAAAATTAAATTTACAACAGGGTAAAATTGGGAAATGATAATAAATAATTATCCTTATGCCTTGTATCAAAGACTAAAGAAATTATTACGAAAGGTGTCCTATAATAAGTATAGGAAAGAGCATATGGTGATTATAAACACTAAATTACATTTATAATATTTAAGGGAGACTAACATTTAGGTCCTAAGGGGTCATAATCAATTTTAGAGTACCAACAAAGTCTCCTAATCCTTTAGTAGTATAATATCATGTCTAATAATTTTAGAAATTTGTAAATTTAATTCTCAATTTTATTATAATATATTTATATTCTTTATTAAAATTTGAAAAATAAGTTGCAACTCTATAACAATAAAGTTGCAAATTTAGAAGCCAAACTTGCGAATTTGTAGAATTGTTAGATATCATATTTTTTCACTAAAGGATTAAAAAATTTTGTTAACACTCTAAAATCTCTCAACTTAAATTAATTGATTCTCTTAAGACTTAATTATTATTCTCCCTGTTATTTATATTCAATTGATTGATTTACTTCTTTGTAACTGTTTATAAAATGAGAAGAAAAGAATTATTTTATTTTATTTATAAGTTATGTCACTAAATTTTTATCACAAATTTCTTCTTTTACTTTTCATTAAATATTGGTAAAAGAAAGCATGTTATTAATTTATATATATATATATATATAATATGTGTAAAGTTAAAAATTTATTAAAATTTTAGATAGAATTAATAAATTTTAATGTTTCCTTAATTTTATAAAATATATTAAAAGTTACTTATAAATAAAAGAAAGTATAGCTTATAAAAAATCTAATTCTTTAAACAGACAAAAAACTCCTTCAAAGTCATTAACTTTTGTTTAAAAATTAAATAAATTCCTAATTTCTTCATATTAAGCACGTCCTTTAGAAAATTTCATATTTTCTTATATCAATATTAAACATTAAATAGGGTAAAAGGAAAAAATTGTAATGAATAATTAATATGATGCTTTATAAAAGGCACAACAAAATCCCTCCTCTCTAAGTATATTAGCAATAGATTCAGCATAAGTATACAGATATAGAAAAATCATGTATCTATATCAATTTATGCACAAAGTAATCAACCTCTTGAGTCAAAGCCATTGATACTAAACCCAAGTTATCTAAGCTTAAGAAATTAACAAATCTAGTGAAACATATTGCCACGCGAATTGTCCCGCATACGTGAAGTTTATACTCATCATTAGCATATACAATTGTTTGCAAGAATCATGTAAGCGGTATTGCATTTTAACAAATAAATTTTACTTTGCTTGCGTAGCAATTAACAAATTAACAAAGCTTGTAATTCTTATGCTTATGCTTCAAATGATGTCTAATTACTAAGGGATATTAGATAATGATTGATCATTTACGTGTGTGGTTAAACTTGAGATATTAAATATCTAGAATTTAGTAACCCCCAATGCTCCCAAATTTATCACTTTCATCAAATCCTACTACTCTCTCTACCTATAAAAGCATCTCTTCTCTCGTCTCAAGTTTGTCGTGAATTGGCTAAATATTTGTGGGATCCAAGAAGGATACATGACTTGGGATCATTCATTAAGCATGGTGCCTCTGGTTTCTTGTAACCGGTCGGGGAAAGAAATCTCAACAATGTGAAGCCAATGCTATATATGAGAAGAGACGGTTCGTAAGGTGTGGATGATTTGAGTGACTCTTCTCTCTGGTCTCATTTTTTGGGAAATCCTCTTCCTTTCTGTGGCTTTTCTTCCTTTATGGATCCTGCAATTCTGTCTTTCCTTCCTTCTGATCTGTATATTCCCTTCTTCCTCTTTTCTTCTTTTGATGTCATATGATATTCGAATATAACTTTTGATACAATATAGTTACTGAAGTCTTATTTGGAAATTAGTAATACACCTGCTATTTCAAATGTACTGAGTTATTTCCACAGAACAGCACTCAACGTTTTGTCCCTAACAACAAAATTATTGAGCTGAGAATTGGCTCTGGTTTTGACCTTCACCGTCATGGCCATGGTGGTTTCAGCTTGCAATGGAATGGCCAAAGCCAAACATGAAGTTGAAGATGTGGCTGCCATTCCACCCATAACGATGGAAAGCTTTGGAGTTCATCACAGTGCTTTGGACTTTCTTGCTGTCATGGTCTTTTTGGTTTTGGCTGTTGGGTTTGGCTTCATCATCTAAACCTGCCTCAAATCATCATTAGTTACTATTTTGTAATGCTTATCCAAAGAGAGTTTATATGTACTAAAAGGGGGAAAATGCAGATATACAATTGTTTAGATGCTCTAGTAAGTTTTTCGATCAGATAATGGCATATAGAAGGGTTCTTATGGAGTGACTTGTATAGCTAAATAAATGTGTTCGTATGTTTTTATGGAAAACTTCGATAATAAGTAGAAGACTATTGTTTGGTTGAATGCAGTTAGATTCAAATGATGAAAGGTTTGCTCACAGAAAAAATGAAAGGTTTATTTACTTTCAGAAATCCAAAATTCTAATTGAGGGTCTACTAAATAGTTTTCCCAGTACTCTGCCTTTGAAATTGAGGAATCCACAAGCACTAGGATGTCTCGTGGACTTGATCACCAAAATATAGACTTGCATTTATATGCCGGAAATTTTACAGTTCCTTAAAGATTTAGGCTGATTGGTTTAGCTTTAAAGCTGGCATAACTATGGTTATCAAACCTAAAAACTGGCCCCAAAAAAAAAACCTAAAAACTGGTCGGAGAAAATTTTCTTAGCTTAAAAAAAGAAAAAATAGTTGGGGCAAATGACTTGACCCAAAACTATAGTTAAATCTGAATCGATTTTTTTTCTTTTGATCACTCAACCATGGTAAAGCCTCCACTACTTTCACAGAAGAAAACTTAAAAATTATAAATAAGGATCCAAAAATTACATTTTGATCCTTTTATGTAATTTCTGAAACATTTTTCTATCATTTCATGATTCACTAAATTTTTTATCATAAACATAGTTAGTTAACAATTCAAATTAATTTTTATTAACGAAAAATGCTACATTGTAATGTTTTTAAAAGTTAATATAGATCATTGCACAAACAATAATTTCAAAATCTCAAACACTGGACCTATAACTTAGTTTAAGAGTTAAGTTGTTATTTTAGCAAACTATAATTTGTGAAAACTTTAATTTTCTTTTTCTTTTTTGGTAAAAAACTGAATGCCATTATAAGTCAGTCAAAAATTACAAGACAACATTGAGTGAGCTGATAGAAGTCAAAAATTTTAATTTTCCAAACTCTAATCTAAACACACGATGTTCAAAAGTGAAATATTTACTACTCAGACATGAATGTATTGGCGGTCCATTTAACGAAGAGCACAGTTACAATGCATTCTTGAGACTTCAGAAGACAACATTGGATGAGCTAACATAAGTTCATTCTATCAAATGAACAAATTTCTCAATATTCAAGAGTCCGAAAATGCTGATTACAAGATCTGCTATAGCTGAACTACATGATATGGTTGGCGTTACAGTATAAACAATAATAAAACTTGAAGGGGAGACGTTATAGCTCCTTTGACAGGAGAATTCTGTTAATTCCCAGTATCTCTCAGCAAGTAGATGCATAAACTCTGGATGGAGTGAGAATCTGCTTCCTGAAAATCATTCTCCATATAGTTCATTAAAAAAAGAAAATTAACTCCACGACTGCAAGTTACGATTTGCATTCCATGCTCATCATAAGTGATGAGCAATGCGTACTCCTGACCTTTCATTTCAGTTTAAATTGATCTCTAACATCCATTTAAATTAATTTTTTTAAATATTTTTAATATTATATTTATTATTATAAAAACTTTAAATTTTTAATAAATATGTTCATTACTAATCTGTACGAATTTAATCTAACAATTAATTTAATATCAAAATTTTTATAATTTGACTGTTCAGATAAACTTTAAATAGTTCAGATATAATTTAAATAACCTAATTTAATATTAAAAAATTTATAAATTTTAAAAATTAATTATTTAAATGTACTTTAAATAATTCAGATTTAATATTAACAATTTTTATTTTTTTTACTTTTAATAAATATAATATTAAAAATATTTAAAAATTAATTTAAATGAATGATAGGAATTAATTTGAGTAGAAATATAGAGCCAAGATTACTCCTGACCTTGGTGAGCATGATAAGCTCCGAATTCGGACGCTGCAAGTTATGGGCGTATTCAAAGCAAAATCATGATTTTTTTTTAAATCATTTTTTCAAATGTCAGGTTTCGAGTGTCCTGAGGCTGTGTCCGAGATTAAATTCTTAGTTGACCCCACTAGAGAATCCAAGTAAATTGAAATTCATGCCGGGATGCCGGATTCAGAGTTACAAGTTTGCAATTCTATGAATCGTTACTCTAATGGATTTCACGGACAGATAAAATCGTTATAAAATTTGCAAAATCGCGCACCTTCAACTTCTAATGCCCTATCTATGCCCCTATGATATCATATGCACCACTCCATCAGCTATCATTACTCTATTGTCATCTTGCAACTTCTGAAATTTCAGAAAAGACAACAGATTTGATTTTATCAGAATCCAGGATGAAAATATGGCACCACAAAAACTCAAAGTAAGGATGGTACCTCTAATAGGAATAATATATCTTCTCTGCTGTAACTGGATTCTGCACCTTGGTTGACAACATTCTCTACATCTGAAATGGATATGAGATCCAAGCGATTGGCACGCATATGCTGACCAAATAAAGAATTGAATGCTCCGATTCTGCATTTTGACAGAAAATATTGAACATCAGAAGGTAGAACTGAGGGATAAATAAAACTAAAATGTAGGAGTCGAGTGCTTGGCGAGTCACCTTTCAGGTGTGAGACCGGTAGCAGATTGGGCTGCCGAAGTCTCGTCAACTTCCATGGCTTCAGCTGTCGAGCTTTAAAGAAAGAAAAAGGTCAAGTCAACTTATGACCAGACAAATTTTCAACTCGAGTGTATCAATAAATCCAGTTTCCTAGTGGTAACAAGTGTTAAACGCAAGTGAAAGTAGAATAGTTCACTATAATGCTAGAAGGATGCTGAATCAGATTCAGAAATACAAAATAGAGAAAAATGGCTTCTCATAAGAACAAATCTAATAATCAAGATTAAAAGATGCTTTCAAAGTGTGCATTTAGTACACCTAGCTTTCCCAGACAGTGTAGACAGCCACTTACACTCTTCTATTTTTAGGACCTCGACTAGGTTCATCATTTTCACCAGGATGCTCCTCAGCCCTGCGTTTCCTCTCCATTTCTCTCTCTTGATCACGCTCCTCCATTTCTGTTAGTTCTTTGTGATATATTGCAAAATTAAGAACTTTCAGAGAGGCTTCAACATCAGACTTTAAAACCTGCCAATAAAGGTGGGCACTCGATCACGAAATGCAATTTCTTGAATACACAACAGAAAGAGGAAAAAGTTGTTAACAGCATGCCATGGATTATAAAATAAAGACCAGGAGGTCTAAATGACAAGGCCTGCGGGCATGTTCTCATTTTCTTCCAAATTGTACCCTAGTGAGATAGCACATCTGGAGAAAGGATAGAGGATATGGGCATGCATTTCATGGTCTTATAAATAATCCAGAAAATGCATGTTTACCAAATTTAGTACCTGTCTGCTCAACTTCAATTTAGCATGAGCCGTTGAGAGACGTATTATGGTTTCCAAAGTTCTAGCAGTGATAGGAAGGGTTCCTCCAGTCTGCACAAAGCCAGCATCACATCAGTTATAGATTTAAAACAAGCTGTACAGTTACTGATTTGCCTTCAGCTAAATGCCAACTTTTAATGCTAACCATAGCACTTGAACCAGCATTTCTGAGTTCAGCATATGCTGTGGCAATGTGTTCAGATGCCTGTGAACAAAATTGGTGTTAGAAGGTATGGATTTAAGACAAGAAAAAGATCCATTGTAAAAAACAGGAGATGCCAAAAGAACCCTTCAGCGGTGAATAGAAACAGATATTGCGGACTCAAATTTCATAAATAACCAGATTAATTAAGAAATTCAAATAAGTATAAGAAAAACAATGCAAACTCAGAACAAAACTGACAACAACAACAACAACAACAACAAGCCTTTATCCCACTAGGTGGGGTCGGCTACATGGATTGCAAGACGCCATTGTGCTCTATCATTTATTAAGCTTTTAGAAATATTATTAATTAAGAGATCACGTTCAATAACTTCCAAGAGTGTTCTCTTAGGCCTTCCTCTACCTCTCTTAATCGGACTCAAAGTTATATGTTCCACTCTTCTCACTGGTGCCTCCCTTGGTCTTCTTTGTACATGCCCAAACCATCTCAACCGATTTTCTACCATTTTTTCCTCAATAGGGGCCACCCTCACTTTTTCACGTATGTGCTCATTTCGAATTTTATCTTTACGTGTATGTCCGCACATCCATCGTAACATTCTCATCTCTGCTACTCCAACTTTATGCTCTTGCTGTCCCGTTAGAGCCCAGCATTCACTACTATATAACATTGCCGGTCTGATAGCAGTACGATAAAACTTTCCTTTAAGTTTATTAGGCACCTTACGGTCACAAATAACTCCTTTAGCTTTTCTCCAATTAAACCACCCAGCTTGAATTCTATGTGAAATATCTCCACTGATTTCGCCATCATTTTGAATAATGGCTCCCAAATATCTAAACTTTTCCACTTGAGGTATAATTTGATCTCCCAATTTCACTTCCAAATTATTTTCGAATAGTCCTTTACCAAATTTACAATATAAATATTCCGTCTTACTTCTACTCAGACGAAAACCTTTCGACTCCAATGTCCTCCTCCATAACTCAAGTTTGCAATTAACCTCTTCTCTTGTCTCTGCTATAAGAACTATATCATCCGCGAAGAGCATACATTTCGGGATTTCCTCTTGAATATGTTCCGTCAAAACATTTAAAATCAAGTTGAACAAATAAGGACTCAGAGATGATCCCTGATGTAGTCCAATCTTTATAGGAAAATCCTTTGTTTGACCACTAGGCGTTCTTATACTAGTTTTTACCCCCTCATACATATCTTGTATGGCTTTAATATAAGCAATCCGTACTCCCTTTTTTTCCAACGCTTTCCAAAGCACTTCTCTTGGTATACGGTCATAAGCTTTTTCCAAATCAATAAAAACCATGTGTAGATCTTTATCTTTACAACGATACTTTTCCATTAATCCCCTTAGTAGATAAATGCCTCTGTAGTTGATCTACCTGGCATAAAACCAAATTGATTCTCAGAAATACTTGTCTCCAATCTCAACCTGTGCTCAATTACTTTCTCCCACAATTTCATTGTGTGGCTCATGAGTTTAATCCCTCTATAGTTAGTACAATTCTGAATATCTCCTTTATTTTTATAAATAGGAATTAATGTACTTCTCCTCCACTCATCAGGCATTTTCTTGGACCGTAAAATCACATTAAATAACTTAGTTAACCATCTCACCCCTTCTTCACCTAAACATTTCCACGCTTCGATAGATATACAATCAGGTCCGTTAGCTCTACCATTTGCCATTTTCTTAAGAGCTTCCTTTACCTCCTTATCACGTATTTTTCGATAGAATGACAAATTTTGTTCTCCTTCACCAGTTACTAAATCCTCCAAGTTACTAGATGAATCCTCTCCATCATTGAAAAGTTTAGAAAAATAAGTCTCCCATCTATTTTTAATTTCATCATCTGTAACTAAAATTCTTCCCTCTTCATCCTTAATACACCTTACCTGTTCTAGATCTCTTGATTTTCTTTCCCTACTCTTGGCAATCTTATAAATATTTTGCTCTCCTTCCTTCGTCTCAAGGTTCTTATAAAATTCTTCAAAAGCTTTGGAACGAGCTTCACCCACAGCTCTCTTAGTTTCCTTCTTAGCCATACGGTACCTCTCCCAATTTTCCTCATTGTTACACAAATGTATGGCTTTAAAACAGTTCTTCTTATACTTGATTTTGTCCTGTACACTATTATTCCACCACCAAGACTCCTTATCTCTCGGACCAGAACCTTCCGATTCTCCCAAAACTACTTTTGCAACCTCCCGTATCTTTTTAGCCATATCCTCCCATATGATGTTAGCACTTCCCTGAGAATCCCAAATTCCTTTATCCAAAAGATTTCGCTTGAAAATATCTTGCTTCTCACCTTTTAATTGCCACCACCTAATCTTTGGTGTTACTACTTGTCGACGTTTTTGGATTTTACTCATAATACACACATCAAGGACTAGGACCCTATGTTGTGTCGTTACAGCATCTCCAGGGATCACCTTACAATTTTTACAAAGTTTTCTATCTGTGTTCCTAACCAAAAGAAAATCAATCTGCGACCTTGAGGCTCCACTTTTGTAAGTGATGAGATGCTCATCTCTCTTCTTGAAACAAGTGTTGGCAATCTTAAAATCATACGCCAATGAGAAATCAAGAAGAGTTTGCCCTTCATTGTTTAGCTCTCCAAAACCAAAACCACCATGCACCCTCGCATACTGACCAGCTTCCCTCCCGACATGCCCATTAAAGTCTCCTCCAATAAAAATCTTTTCACTCTGTGGTATGTGTCGAATCAACCCCTCCAGATCCTCCCAAAATAATTCCTTAAGACTGGCTTCTGTCCCGACTTGCGGCGCATAAGCGCTAACAATATTAACAGTCTCACGTCCAATTATCATTTTTAAAGAAATAATTCTGTCTCCAATTCTGCTAACTTCTACAACGTTCTTCTTCCACTCCTTATCTATAATGATGCCTACTCCATTGCGTGCACTTACTTTTCCTGTATACCAAAGTTTGAAACCTTGAATATCCTTAGCTCCTTCTCCACGCCATTTTGTTTCTTGCAAGCAAAGGATATTGATTTTCCTTTGAATCATAACCCCTACAACCTCTACAGATTTACAATTTAATGTCCCAACATTCCAAGTACCAAATCTAATTTTGCTCTTATGGACTAACTTCTTTAGCCGCGTGCGTCCAGAATGACACGGTAGCCCTTGCTCATTTAACACTACATCCGGGCGCCGATGCAGCGGCTCTAACTCACTTATCACTGTACTCGAGCCATGCAGCGCGTTACTTACGGGCAACGACCTAGCATTAACATTATAACGTCTATTGTCCATGTTCATGATAGATTCAACAAATTTTTACATTGGCTGTTGATGGCCTAACACAACCCTCCTCCTTTACCCGGGCTTGGGACCGGCTATAAACATAGGCGGAGTTTCAGAACAAAACTGAAAAACCATAAAAAAGGGCTTGGAGCCCTCTAATGCCCCAACGTTTTGAAATGGGAGACATTTTTTTTACTAGAAAATGAAAAACATTTTGATATCTTATGATGATGAAATGGTATGGTTTTGTACTTTTATAATTTTTCAAAGAAAAATATTCTAAAATTGTTTAGTTTTGATTTATTTTCTTTGAAAAATAGTGAAAAAACGACACCATTGCATCACTGTAAGATATCAAAATTTCTCTCGTTCTATGTAGAATCTACTAGTCAAAAGGAAGAACGAGAAAAACAATTGGGAGGTTGGGGCATTAGAGGACCGTGCCAAAAAAAGAAAAACACGACACCACGTGCACTCTACCTCATCAGTAAGTTCAGGTTGAATCCTATGCTTAGCATAATGAATATACTTCTTAAGAAACTTGATTGTGAGCACATCGCGCTTGCGACCTTTTTCTATTTTCTTTCCGTGTAGCATCCGGTTATATTTGACAAAGACAGCTGAGTCAGTGTCAGCCTCATCTTCTCTTCCATATCTCGAGGCACCATCAAATGCTACCTCACCTGCATCAGTAAATTAGTTCAACTGAAATTCTTTTCGGAGGAAATATATCTGTAACATTTGAAAACCATTTGTCTACCTCCATCAATGGCAGAACGGTATCGATGCATACGCAAGACATGCTCCGATATATGACGATCAATATCAGGATCCATTTGATCCAAGACAATAAACAGAAGATCAAATCGGGAAAGCAAGGAGTCTGGGAGTCCAATATTTTTTGTTGGGGTCAGTGATCGGTCATACTGCAGAAAGTCAGTTAAAGACCAAAGCTTCAGCTTGAATGAGCAAATTTTTGTACATAAAAATGCTTAACAAACTATTTATGAGCACCACTTACAGTTCCATATATGGGATTTGCAGCAGCAACCACACTGCATCGAGCATTGAGAGATGCATGGATACCTGCTTTGGCTATAGTTACAGTTTGCTGTTCCATAACTTCATGTATAGCAACCCGATCTTGATCATTCATTTTGTCAAACTCGTCAATGCAGACAACACCTCGATCAGCAAGAACCATCGCTCCAGCTTCAAGCCTTCTTTCCCCTGATGAGAAGCAATTATCATTTTCCTTAAATGACATGCAACGGTAAAACACTACACATCCAATGACGAATGCTTCACCTGTTTCTTGATCAGAAGTAACTGCTGCTGTTAAACCAACGCCAGAAGAACCCCGACCTGTAGTAGATATAGCCAAGGGAGCAATATTCATAATTGCTCTTAAGAGTTGAGACTTGGCAACAGACGGATCGCCAACCATCATCATGTTAATGTCACTGAAAGAAAAAGGTGTGAAGAGAGCAATATGATTATTTCCACATAAACTCAATTTTGCGAGAGAGAACGTCCGTGTAGACAAGCAAATAGAAAACAATGAACGGAACTTAAGCACTCAATAACGCCATCTAGAAGCAAAAGAAAAGGCAAAAATAATATGAGGAGAAACAACTAACCCTCGCAAATGGGTACCATTCTTTAAGTTCTTTTCGACTCCACCAAGCATCAATAAAATCACCGCTTTCTTTATCCAGGAATGCCCATAAATAGAAGGTGCAAGTGAATTACCAAGTAGGTCAAAGGCATCGTCTCTTTCGGCAATCTTCTTTATGTTTTTCAGATCTTCAGCACTGTAGATTGGTGCGTTAGCCTCTTTGTTAAGAAGAGAGACATTGTTGGCTATAAGTACAGTCCTGTACGACAACATTAACCAGTCAAAATTTTGTGAATATGATAAAGGAAACGATACTGTGAAAGAACAAACTGGAGCTACCTGAACACTCCATTCACGCCGCCTTTACTTTTCCCTGCTAGGGCCTTATATACCCCCACAATAGCCACACGATCCCCAGGTTTACAACAGTCAACAAGGTCATCCTCTACTATCACATCTACTGTTCTTGGAAGTTGACCAGGTGCAGAATTCTCAGGAACTTCTTGCATGGATAAGGTTTGATGATCTTTATATTTGCACAATCCATACTCGGTCACCAGTAAGTTGCCGTTTTCATCCTATGATAAAACTTTGATCAGGAAAGTTCATCTTATAATGATTAAATATGATGCTAGAGGCCAAGGGCAGCTTGAGATTACCCTTGTGGGATAAACAGACCCTGTGGGAAGACCCATATTGGAAGTAATATCACGATATTCACGAGTGGTGAATTTTTTTGTCGTGGGGCAGAAGTGAACACTTTTAACAACCTTCGGCCTTACAAGGGAACCTATAAATAAGCCAATTGCTTAGACTTGTGCATATTTAACATATAAAATGCGACAAGGTACTAGATAATTCCATCAAAGCCACTTTTAAATCGTGTGTAACTCCACTACCACAGGAGAAAAAATAGAGATTTTCTCGGATCTCAAACAAAGATTACGGTAACAACAGTAGGAACTAGAGTTTAAATTGCTTGACCATAGCTGTCACAAAATGCAAACAGTTTTTAGTCATTCATTAAAGCCGTAGGAAACTAAAAGAAAAGCGTACATTTTGTGACAATGCCCTCAACGCAGACCATAGAACCTATGAATTCAGATAGGAGCTCCCTCGGGGTGACACCACGGGAAACGAAGGGGCCTTCAAATCCTACAAGCACTTGTTCTCCTTCCTTCAAATACTTGGGGTCAATAGCACGAGCAGCATCTGTCACAGCATCACAGAATGATTGTATGTACTCACTAGGGTTCCTGAGAATCCTGGATAAGGGCAAGAGTAATGTATTAGTTAGACTTGAAGAGCATATACTCAATCAGTTCGTGCATGTGGTGTGTATCTAAATTTTTTGTAATAACACCCAAAATAAGAAGCTTGATAGAAACCATCTATTTAGACGTATTCAATCCCTTTTCACATTGGTCTTTCACCCCAGATCCACTTGTACTCCATAAAATTGCCAGGTCAAGCCAGATAACAAAGGAGTTAAAAGTTGATTCATATGAAAATGGAATAATAATAAGCCTCGACCTCAGTCGAACCCTTTATTTCCGATAAAGCATAAACCAAGCAATTCGCCCAAAAATACTAGGAGCTTTGAGCAAAACTTAAGTTTAATTGCATGTACAATATCAAATTTCTGTCATTTTCTTGGGAACCAAACTAGTAACTGACCTATTACCCAAATCGCGGAAGCTATGAAGATCAGAGATATTGACTATGAGGCGACGGCGCTTGTGGTTGATCATTGCTTTGATTTCGTCCATGTATATCCCTTTCCCAACCTGGCCTCGTGAAAATTAGGCCCTTGTAAGCAACGAAAATTGCACAAACACGGAAACACACGCAACAAAAAATAAACAGAAATCTATGTACATCCTGGTCCAGGAAATCGGCGAATTCTCGCTTGTGAGCTGCCCTAACTTCTTCGCTAATATCCATTTCTTCACTTTCTGCTTGCCTCAGACTACGAACGAGTGTGAAAGTGAGATGACCTTTTTGTCAATCGGGGCTTTCTTTTGGCGGGAAAACAGGGCCCTTTCCCCGCGCTGTGGCGGGAAAGTCTCACTCCGTTTTTTTTTTTTCCGAATTTTTTTATCTGCACTAAAAGAACCCAGAATACATTAAACTCCACTAAATTTTATTGCATATGACCTTTTATTTTAAAAAATTTAAAATTAACCTTTCTAATTTTTAATTTTATTTTTAAAAGTTTCTTGCTGTTAATTATATTTTTTTATAAAGGTAAAATATCATTTAACTAGAAAAGTTATTAAACAAAACACTATATCATAGAATTATGATTAATTAATTTTTTATATTTTTTAATAATTAAAGCATTAATAGTTAAAAAAATATTAGTTCTATTTTTTTTGTTATGAATGGTGGATAATTTTCTTGTATTAAAGGAACATAGCATTTAAAAATAGAGTTTTGAGAATGGCAATGCCCTAAATTTCAATATAAAACTATTCTGCATATCTTTTGCCTGTTTTACCCTCTCTAGACTCTAATATGTACATGCTAAAGGGAATCCCATTCAAGCGCATGTGATGGTGTTGCATTACAAAAGCAAAACAGGATAGAATCGAGGAAAGAAGAAGAAAAGAAGAGACAAGAGCAAGGGGTGTGTGTGTGAGAGAGAGAGAGTGAGAGACCATTCACTATTTCGATGATCATATTTAGTTACAACGTCCCTCATTTATGCAAAAACATCACATGTTGTCATAACAGCCATAATAGAAAAGAAATTGCCAAAATAAAAAAATAGAAAAATAACTAAATAAAATGCATCAAATCAACTCCCCTCCCTTAACAAAATCCTTTTCCTCTAGGATGAACTGTTTGAGTAAAATTTGGAAAGCGACGCTCAACCTCCTACTATGAAAGAGGAAGCTCATCAACCTAGTGTATAAGGACTTGTGTGACAACTTTGATGTTGCATTGAACCAAACAGTGATCCGAAATTGCAAAAGGAACTTTAGGAGTTATGGCATACAACAAATCATCTAAAAGGGGAACAATAGGAACATGATGATCAGGGCACATCTTCAGCAAAGACACATGGAAGGTTGGGTGGAGCCTGGTGGTCACAGGAAGGTCTAACATGTAAGCCACCTCACCTACACATTCGAGGACATGAAAAGGGTTTGTAGTAATATGGAGATAGCTTTTCTGATGAATGGATAGCCACTGTTATGTATATGTACGAAGGTAATTTCAAAAACACCCCATCACCAACAATAAACAGTGTTTTGATCTATTTTTATCAACCATCTAGTTGACTACTTTGGAAAGGTAAAGCTTTAACTGAGAGAGGAGTCTCTCATGCATAAAAAAAGCGATTAATGGCATCTATCAAAGACTCATAAAGTAACTGTCCATACATAACTTCAAATGTAGTAATACCGATTGAGGAATGGTAAGTGGTATTATACCACCATTCTACTAATGGCAACCATTAAGCCTAATTATTGGAGTGCTGCCATGAAAAACTATAAAGGTAGTATTCCAAACAATGATTCAACACCTCACTCTAACTATTTGTTTGAAGGTGATATTCTGTTGACAAATGCTATTTAACACCCAAACAAACAAAATCTCTTTCCAAAATTGGCTAGTAAATGGAGGATCTCTATCACTAATTATATTTGTAGGGGCTCCATATAACTTGTAAACATTGTTGATGAAGAGCTATGTAAGGGTAGAAGTAGTAAATAGGTATGTAATGGTGAGGAAATAAGTATACTTTCTCAAGCCATCAATAATGACCCATACCGTATCTTCACCATTAGATTTTTGCAGTTTTTTAATGAAGTCCATGGCAATACTCTGCCAAACTCCTTCAAGAATTGGCAATGGTTGAAGCAAACCTAGAGAAGCTACATACTCATATTTGCAATGCAAGCAAGTCTCACACTGTTGTAAAAACTTCTTAATATCTTTCAACAAACCCTTCCAATAAAATAAAGCTTTAATCCTCTTTGAGGGTTACTATAAAGCCATGGAATAATAGTGGTTTTCAAATTAGTCTAGTTAGGACCAATAACCAGGCGATGATGTCAGAATAACATACCATTCTGCCATGAATATTTAGGGATGGGAGTGAAGATCCATTTCCAACTTCGTAATTAATAACTATAGGGTTAGATCATATTGCCATTGGGCCCGAATATGATCTCATAGTTTAGTAGAGACTGAAGAAACTGACATATAAAGGTGCTTGCCATGAAAAGCTCATGATAAAGCATCAACAGCACCATTTTCCTGACCACAATGATATTTTATTTCATATTGAAGTCCCATGAGTTTAGTAATCCATGTATATTGAGAAAGGGTAGATAGTCGCTGTTCCAATAAAAATTTTAGACTTCTTTAATCAATAACAATAGTGAATGGTTGAATATATAAATACTTATTCCATTTAGACATAACATGCATAATGGAAAGTAATTCCTTATCATATACAGACAAAAACTAATTATATGGCGACTAACAGAAGCAATCGAGTGTCCTGATTGCATCAATATCGCCCCAATCCTAATATTGGATGCATCAATCTTAAGGGTGAAAGGTTGCTTCAAGTCTAGTAATACTAAAATAGGGGTATTGACCAAGGCTTCCTCAAAAGCTAAAAAAACCATCTCAGTCATTAGTGTCCAATGAAAACCATCTTTCTTGAGCAACTCTGTAAGAGGTTGGGCCAATACACCATAGTCATAAATAAATCATTTATAGTATCCCAATAAACCCAAAAGCCCTCTCACTTCTTTGACTGTAGAAGGTATCAGCCACTTATGCACTACCTGTAACTTCAAAGAATCTATTGCAACCTTCCCATCAAAAATTACATGGCCCAGTTATTTAATGTGAGACATCGCAAAAGTGCACTTGGAATGTTTAATAAGAAACTGATGTTGTTGTATAATAGTAAAAACTATTCAAAGGTACTAGTCATGAGAAAAAGGTCTAGACTATAAATTAATATGTCATCAAAAAACATCAAAACATACTTACAGAGTAACCCTTCAAAAGTGGAATTCATAACAGCCTTAAAAGTGGAGGGTGCATTAGTAAGGCCAAAAGGCATCACTAAGCATTCATAATGGCTAGCATGCATTTGAAATGCCATCTTGTGGGTGTCATCTTCATGAGTGCAAATTTGATGGTAGCTTGAATGGAGATCTAATTTTGAAAAGATTTGAGCCTTCACCAATTCATCCAAAACGTCCTCAATAAGTGGAATAAGAAAACTATCTCTCATAGTAGCTTTGTTGAGTGCATGATAGTCGATGCAGATTCTCCAACTTTCATCTTTCTTTTTGACTAAAACTACTGGAGATGCAAAGGGAGAAGAGATGTGTTGAATAATACCCCTGCTCTAACATGTCCTTAATCATACTCTCAATCACATCCTTTTGAGTAACTAGGTAATGGTATAGCCTTAGCTTGATTGGATATATGCCTTCCTTAAGAATGATATGATGGTCATGGTCATGGTCCCCACATTTCAGAGGTAAAGTAGTTGGCATGCAAAACAGAGCATCAAAAGAAACTAAGAGTTGGTCAATACCCTCGGGAGTCTTAGTGGTAGAATTGACCTGAATGGTATGACAACATCTATCCAATGAATAAGGTACTAACTGCAGCCCCCATATATCACTGTCAAACTCTAGTATTTTCAACATTTTTTACTCATTAATCACCTTATTTTTACCCTTGACTACTGCCGTAAGCTTAACATCATGTCCTAGCCATTTAAATTCCATAATTAGATTCTTACAGTCCCATTGAGTCACCCTTAGTTCAACTAGCCATTACATTTCTAACACCATCTCACAATCGATGAGACATACTATTTACACACTTTATCCACTCATTTAGGACTCATTTTACATGTTATATTTTCTATTTTGGTGCATTCATAGTCTTAAAAAAAAATAGCCTAAGGGACGAAGTGGTGCATTAGGGATATTTTGATCCAAAAATGTAATTTTTTATGAAAATTTAGGTTAATGTTGGATTAAATGTGTTTTATGCCTAGGAGAATGAATATGAAATTATATTTTGAAAAATCAATGTTGTTTGAGAGATATTAATTAAAAATCACAATTTAAGATTGTGACTTTGTTGACTAAATTAGGATTTTGTGCATGTGAGTGCGTGCATGGTTTTCACATCGGACATCCCTTGGATTTCATTTTATTATTTATCTCCCACCTAAATAATTAATTTCATATTTCTAAATATGAATTATTATGTCACAGGCATTTATTTAATTAATTTTATTCATTATGTGACATAGGTGACACATGTGCACTTCGACTTGTATCAATTGGTCAAGGAAGTGCAAGAAGGGAATTTGGGGCAAGAGCGGCATGCTAAATGGCTAAAGGATGGGGTTGATCAAATTTACTAAGTGTAAAGCATGAGAATATTCAAATTAGCATAGGAATTATCACCCAACCAATGAGAAAGTGCCACCTAAGGGCATGTGTGTTAAGTGTGAAGCTTTTTTAGACTTTTGAATTTTATTTTAAATTATTTTAGGAGTCAAATTTGATGGGAAACCAATACACACATCCCATACACTGAAAAATCAGATTCAACACTCAATTCATTCATCTTTTTCATTTCATCTTTTATTTTCTCTTTATAGTTCTTAAGGTTCTTCATTTTTCTCCCCCTCTCTAGAATTCTCCTACTCCATCTCCACATCTAATCATTAAATCTTCATAAAACCACCACCATTCTTCTCATCTCATTATCCTCTACACATTCCTACTATTTGATCTTCTATCTAAAACCTCATTCTTTACTTGAAGTCATAGAGCATTTTGGTCAAAACAAGAACTTGAGAAAGATTTCGATGGAGCTTGAAGGCTAAGGTATCCTTAGTGCCTAGAGGAGAATGAAGACTTCATGAACCATTTTGGTCTTCAATTTGTGTAAAATTTTCTTTCTCTTAATCTTTTTCCATTTACTTAACACTATAAGCCCATAATCTTAGATTATGATGTTATTGGCTTGCAACCATAATCTTGAGTTCATCTATTAGTAGGGAGATTGATTTGTTGATGGATTGGTTTGGATATGTGATTTGTGTATTTTAGCCATTGATGAGAATTGCATAATTTTGTATTTTCATTTATATTTATACCTTCCATGTGCCTTATCATAATCTTAAGATATATGTGTTAGGTTTAGTTATGGTCAACTATAGTCTCGGGGGTTATATGGGCTTTTAACCGAATCACCTAGTCATTCTAATCACTAAACACCTACCAACACTTAACACTAACTTAGGTAATTGAATTGAGCACTAGAGTCCTAAGCTTGAAGATATTATTTAAGAAGGTAAAGTTATCGGAGATAGTCTTCCCAGTAGCTATTAAATTTGGTTAGGAAGGGAAGGAGAAATAATGAACACTTACTTACATATTGGTCATGATTAATTTCTTAATCCAATTATAGGAACCTACTTCCATAAGAAGTTCATCACACACATTTTAGGTTAGATTTCAAGTTTAATCCACTAGGTGATTAGTCAACACTTCCAATCAATTAGTCAATCTATTTACCTAGTTTTTCAAACTAAGTTAGAACTACCTCCTAATGAGAAGACCTAAGGTTGACCCTATACCACATTATGATTAGTTCTAGTTAATTTTGAGAGTTAAGAAATTACACTCATCAACAACTGACCAAAGGCTAAAGAATGACATCTAGCTCAAATGTAATGCCGTGAGTAGCCAGCCCACTTAAGGGCCTTACATGCTTTATTACCCAATAAATTACTACCCTCTGTAACACTAATAGCTAAAGGTGGCATAAAAGTCATTGCCATCTTAAGATCATAAGCAAGTTTAGAATTCAAAAAGTTATGGGTATGTGTCAATTAGCATATGCACGATATATTTACCAATTTGTCCCCTCATTCGCATAGTACTATAGTCAAACATCCCCTACATCACATTGCGGGAGATGAGCGGTGGGTCTTGAGATGTACTAGATGAATGATCATCCTCGAAAGTGTCCACAAGTTGAACCTCTACTGGTAGAGTCAAAGGTTCCTCCACTAGCTCCATTAAGAAGATTTGTGTTGATTTTTTCCATGCACACTCATGACTAGGAGAGTAACAGTCATAGCAATAATAACCCAGATTTTTCACTTGGCATTCTTTTAGCTTACTAGGGGTCAATTTATGTTTGAATGAAAAATTAGGTAGCCCTTATCCACCACGAGAAGAACCAAGAACGAGCGTGGAGCTTGGGGATGATAAGATACCTTGTTTTGCATCAGTAACATGGGATTTATCATTCAAAGGGAATATTAATGACTCGAAAGGGGGTGGGGATGGTAGCAAACCTTTAGAAGAGCTAGGGAAAAACTTACCAATCATATAAGATAGAGTACTTTGCTGCCACGAATTAGACTCTTGAAGCCAAGCAAGTTTGATCTCTTCCAAAAGTATTTGCGACTGAAGTAATTTTATCCTCGATGCCAATTCTAATTTCAAGCCGCTAATGAAGTAGCTCATTTTGTGTTCCTCTAATAAATTCAATTGCAAATCAGATTGTTGAATTCTTATTGTTAGTCAACCAAACTGCCTTGTTGTTGAAGGTGCATTAGATCTTCTATCAAGCCATCATTGAATGGGCCACAACAAATGCGCACAGCCTCAGCGAACGTATGTTGTAGAATCACCCTGTTGAGGGATTTCTCATAATGAAGGAACCATTTGTAGGCAGTGTCATCTAAAGAGATGCTGGCAAGTATAATCTTACAAGCCTCAAGAGTGCCATCAAGTAGGAAGAATCGTTCACATTTAGCGAGCCATGCCTCTATATTAGATAAAGAAAATACAAGGAAATCTAGCTTATTATAATGTGTAGGCACATGGTATTCACCTCCACGTTGCTCATAGTGGCTTCTATTAGGAGGTTCTTGCTTCTCTCCTACTTGAAAGGACAACTATCATAACATATCTTGTACTCCAATCATCTGCATACGTAGCTCATGCCCGCCTTCCAATTATGCTTCCAACTAACCAAAAACATTGGTCCAATTCCATATGAAGACAGTCTTCTACTTCCTTCAAAGTAGTTTGCGAACGGGTACCCTTGGGCATAAGATTCACCAGCTCTAATACCAGTATTGCATTACATAAGCAAAAATAGGATAAAATCAAGGGAAGAAGAAGAAGAGACAAGGTGTGTGTGTGAGAGAGAGAGAGAGAACTATTCACTATTTTGATGATCATATTCAATTACAACCTCCCTCATTTATGCAAAATCATTAAGTGCCATCACAACGGCCATAACAGAAAAGAAATATCCAAAATAACAAAAAATAGCAAAATAGCTAAATAAAATGCATTGTATTAGATGGCAGCGATAAGGTACGTAGATGAAAAGAAGCCACAAAACCCTATGTATCTTGTCGACCAACTCTTTCCCTCTCATGCTTGGGGTTTGAGATTGTTCACTTATTCAGGGCAACTCTTTCAATAATTTTCTTGTCTCATAGCTAGGGGTGAAAATAAATTAGGCCAAATTAGGCTTTAGCCAAATAGGCTTGAGCCTGTATAATAAATCAAAGACCTGAGTCTAGCTTAAAACCTTTATAAAGCTTTTTTTACAACTCAAGCCTAAACTAACTTAAAATTTGACTTGGCCTGAAGGCCTATTTAAAGACATTTAAAAGTAAGCCTTTTTAAAGAGTCTAGTATTTTAATTTTAAACATCTCAAATATACTTTAGGCAATATATAATGTGATTTATCAATTACAATATATAATAATTAAAAGAACTTACCAACTACAATACACTATAACAATAAAGTAATAACATTAACAGTAATATATAAGTCCAATATGATTGAAAACATAATTAGAAATAAAAAAATATGTATTGATTAAGAATCAAATGGTGAAACTAATGTGTTTATGATATATTACACAATGTGTGTGTAAATAAGTCGGTATGTTGGGCTCGTAAGCTAAGTCTTAAAAAAATAAGCTTAGCCTATTTAATTAAATAAGCCTAATTAAAAGTCTGAACTTAACTTAAGTCTATTTAATAAATAAGCTAGGATGGCTTAAAGAGGGCCAAGCAAAACCTGACCTATTCCCACCTCTACTCACAAGTCACAATTTGATCTCTTAAACGTAACTAAGCATGCAGGAATGTATACTAGTTGCTTGGTGCATATAATTTAATAAAGACTCTGATTGCAAATCCCCTGCCTGCTGCATGTATGTTACTTCGTTCCTGTCGCTTTCCCGTTTATCTAACTAAAGTCTAAACAGTGTCAACGATTATTTGGGATCAGAATAACCTCACATCTTCATCTCAGAATTGGCTACATGTTTTGCCGATGCATTGATGAACAGTAACTAAGGATAATAATAGTTAATTACATTCCCTGGAAGTGACAGGTACTGGTTCTGATATACGTGATTTGAAGACTAATTTTTGTTGGCAAATTTTTTATTAATTTGTTTTTTTTTTTACCAACTACTAATTCGTTATTATGTGCATAAAATATACAAAAGTGGAGGAGGAGGAATCACTGGGGGCCAAGAATATGGGTGTTGGTCGATGGGGATGGTGTCGCCCCGCAGATTTGATCGTGTATCGTGTAATGGAAAACCCACATTCGAATTTCCTTAGCGAAGTAGAGGGACTCATCAGACTATCAAACGAGAGACCCAGTGGAGATGAAGCACTTTGAGGCACAAGGGCAAGGAGTATGCCTACGTTAAGACAATGGACAGATTAATTGGGCAACTTTGAGAAAAATATTTGTATCATTTATTTGGTAAGGAAGAAGGCATGGTTTGTCCTTTTAGATCAGCCATACTTCTTTCCAACCTTTTTATAAGACCATGTTAACTACTTTTCTAAGATTAAAAACATGAGCCATAATTAGTTAAATATTTTTTTTGCAACTTCTCAAAATTACCCTTAAAACAACTCCTGGAATTTCAGGGTAATTTTATAATATCATAAAATTTTTACGTTTAGATTACTTTAAGAACTTGAGGGTAATTGTTTTCAATATGAATTGAAAGAGTTATTCACTGCAATTATATAAGTGCATCGGGTCAAAAAAAAAAAAAATTGCTTGGTCACACGTACTCATTGATAGACGCAATAAAATATGAATGTTCTTGATTAACCAAAAAAAGCATTTTCTTGGCCCAAAAAGAAGAATTTTAAGTGTCATGTCACCATGTGGCATCTAAAAGCAACAGCCAAGTACCGCACAAACACAACTTTATTTTTGCCATGTGCAGGCGCTTCCTCAATCAGGCTCAAGCTTCATAACATCCTCGTTGAAAAACGAGGGAGCTGCTTAAGGAAAGATCCAACGACACTTTCAATCTTATATATAAATTTAGAAGCAACTAAAAATCAGACCAATTTGGCCAAGCCCTTTATTCATAAGTTACTACACCAAAATGTCCTCACGCTGTCAGATTACAAACACCACAAAACTATGGGTTTTTTTTTTAAAAAAATAATAATTACGGACTAAAAATTCAAAGAAGCAGCCTCAGAAATGAATAAAGAACAAAACCTCGATCAAGTAAGATTCATTCTATATGAGGTGTGGACAATCTGAACAACTCAAGGCCTGAAAGCAGAAAATGCCACGACAGAATTGTGTCCACCGAATCCAAATGAATTTGAAATACCTGAAATAAAATAAATCGCCATTAGATTTACAAATAAATACCTTAATCACAAAGTACTAGATTAACAATTTAATCCTATTTAGTTTTCAGTCCTTGAAAATCAACAAATCCCTATTTAGTCTCCACAAATAACAAAAAAAGAACAAATGCGTATAGAATTGATGATTTTTAGGGATTAACTCCGCATAACTATTTTTCAAGGACCTAAGCCAACGCGGCTTAACAATTTAGAGGCTAAATTTTCAGTTTAGGCCGTAAGAAAATACCACCGTTGTAAAATATTCGGAAGCTTACCAACATTAACTTCATGTTGCTGCTTTACATTTGCAACTGTATCAAAATCAACTGACGGCTCAGGGTTCTGCACATATTACAAGTGTTTCACTAACACTGAAATCATTTCATTGTGACAATAAAGCAAAATAATTTTGCAGGGTTCACCCGCGCACACAAGCACACACATGATCAAACGAAAAGATCTCATATTCGGGTCACTACTTGCAAGAGTGACCATAAGATTTTGAAATTGAAATAACTTCCATGGCACCACAGCCCATCCTGTCCTCGCCAATTACCCAGCGAAAGAAAAGCAACACATCATGCACACACCGTTTGACATCTTAGTATTATAATGACAGCCATAGGAACAACACCAACTTCATATTTACATATTACTGGATAAAATCAGTTGTTCATCACAGTTTGACGGATATTATGTCAATTAGTGCCATATAATTGCAGTGAGTTCTCTAGGGCAGGAAACCATATGTAAACTAGTAACTTTTGGATACCAAATTGTCAAATGAACTCCTCAGGGAAAAAAACTTCGCTAATGCATTCACTTCATAGAAAATGAACCCACTAGCATGAATAAAAGAAAAAAGGAAAATGCTGGCACTGACAAGATTTGTCATTATGGGCACTCATGCTCTGTCTGTTGGCTCTAAGCTCTAACAAGACACAAATGATCAAAACCATTGAAAAAAGCATCAAAGTAAAACATACAAATTGATTGATCGTGGGATGTAGCCATCCAGTTGTTATGGCTTTCACTGTGGCAATGGCTTCCAAACCCCCAGCCGCACCAAGGCAGTGCCCAATCATAGACTGATTGAAAAAGAATATATTCATCAGTATATGGGCAGGAAATTAGTCAAATATAACCTGCCATAATCTGTAAGACAGAAATTTTCACCACCGCAATCTAAAGAGTGGGATGATACCTTGGTGGCATTAATTTTGATCTCTGAAGTGTTCTTGAAAACCTTTTTGATAGCATTAATCTCTGCCAGGTCACCAGCAAGAGTAGAAGTTGCATGAGCATTTATGTAGTTGACCTGAAAAAAAAAAAAAATCAAATTGCATGCTTTTACTTTGCTAATTTACAGTATTCAAAATGAATAATAAGAGTATAAACACACACGTATATATATCAGCTAGTAAGATTAATCTCAGAAACTGTTTAGATAGGATAGATGGCAATCTCAGTCTGAACTTAGACATTAATAGCGCATGCACAAGTTCCTGTAAATGAATTCTAATTTATTCAATAGTTTGAACAAATGTAAGGCAAACCTTCATATGCAATGATAGACTTTATAAAATTGACTAGTCAGTCACATGTATCCTCATGTTAAAAGAATTGTGATACTCTCTTCCCCTTTGTTTTAGAGGGAAGAAGACATCAAGCTTCAAGCAATGGCTTATGTCAGTTAACATAATTTTTCTAAACTTGACTGGATAAACCTGATTGTGACTTCAGTTTTAAGTACATTGTTTATAGAGGTTTATTCTTTCTAGGCAAACAGAACATTAAGCCTCAAGCAACGGTAAGGTTGAGAGCCTGACCGATTAACATCAGGCACTCAGAAAAGAAACATGCATTGTGCTTGGAAAAATAACCTGAAGCCATCTGGCAAGGTCAGATTGAGATTTATCAACCATCTAATATATTCAGGTTAGGAATAGTTCAGTTGAGTAGACTTTCAAATAATCTTTTGAAGCATTCTTCAGAGATTCAAAAACAATCTACAAATTTCTCACAACTATTACACAACCGAGCAAAACTAAACATAAAATATATTATGCGCAGAGCACTACAACAACAACCTCATTCTATCATGTAGAGTCGGCTACCTGGATCATACAATGTCATTATGCTATATCTAAAACCCACTCTTCTAATAAACCATTAACCAAGAGATCTCAATTGATGAACTTTGGGCAGAACACTGCTAAAGGATTTATTAATGTCTAAATTTATCTGGCTTCAACTTTTTCTCTATTTGTGTGTTGCTCAAATAGTTTCAAATTTGAGGGTGAGAGCAAAAGAACGGTACCCATTTCTTAAGTTTCAAGCACTAGCACACTTTCACATGTAACATAAAAACGATGGTTTTATAATTATCATGAAAAGATCCAGAATATTTTTACATCCTTCGGAAGGGGAAAAAAAAAAACCTTTGTCCAGACACAAATTGGTTTATAGAGTGGCGAATCCAAAGGTTTTACTTCAGAAAGGAAGGTAATAGACTTAGTGCTTAAGTTTATGATTAACCCCCCCCCCCAATTGAATCATCAAAGGTTATAAACAATAGTTTCCAATACGATAGAACGTTAATAAAATTTTCCCCGTTTTAACATACAAGAAGAAGAAAAGGGACCTTTTGATTATGTCTATGCAAAGGTTAAAGGCAATCAAGACAAAGGCTTCAAGGGTCAATAATTGCAGGACATTAGAATTTACGTGCCAGGCCGCCAAGGAGACATTAAAAACCCCTTATCAAGTTGTTTTACTTTATCTATTGAAAATTGTTGTCAATGATCAAAGCGATCCACTCACAGCATTAGTCAAGTATAAAGAAGTAAGAAAATAAGATGAAGAATAGAAGAGAGAGAAATTAACAATCTCATACTTCCACGACCAAATAGCATTGATGTCTGACTCCGCAAATCTTCGTCCAATGCATTCCAAATAATAAAGGAACGAGTCTTACCCAATAAATCTATTCCACAAATACAACGGACCAACATATTATAGACAGACAAATCTAATCTCCAGGGAGACCAAACAAATGAGAGGAGGGTTAAAATCATTTTTAACCCTAGAATGCATAGAAGTTGAGTTGCAATATGTTAAAGAGCTGAAGACATTGTCAGCTGAGTAAAGAGTCAATCAAAGTAAAACACATTGTACTGTGCACACCTTCAAATGTGAATTTTAATCACGTAACTTTGCCTTTATCAGAACAATGCACATAGACCTGACTTAAGTAGAGACTACAGATATTTCATGTAATTTTTATGTGCACTGGTTCATCATACATCCCATGCAGGGTCCCCTTACTTTCTAGTTACTAGTAAAATATGTTCAAGTATTACTGCATCCCCTCTTTTCATCTGCTTCAATGTTTAGCACAACAGTTCTGATTTCTTGGTTAGCATCACCTTTTTCATCATTCAGCATCCAGTACGGTGCAACTAGACCCATGCATTTATCATGCATCAAAAAATTCTAGTTTACTTGATTGGATCAGTATAACAGGTGCATAACTTCTCCAGTGAATTAATTCTGAACCTCTTTGTTAGAAAATCTTGGAACTCTATATTATACTCGTAGCATCTTTCTAAAAAATTGTCTAATGCCATTTATATCATAGCATTCCTGGCCATATTCTAAAAAACCAGTAAAATGCATCCAGTAAGCATGCAGAGTGATAGAAAAGCAAAGCAAGCTAATTGAAGCGCCAATAGGAAAGGGCAAAACAATGTGATTAAAAAGAATTTAAGCCAATAGCATAGAAGAGAGACACACCAGTGTATGAGTGATCACTATTCAGTATTTCTTTCTTAACACAGAGGAAGTAAAAAAACAAAATAAAAAACCGGTATAAGAAAAAAGATGGTACCTCTTCAGGTGAAACACCAGCATCTTCAAGGCTACTCTGGATACATGAAGATACACCAAGTCCATCAGCTCTAGGATCAGTCATATGATGAGCATCACAGTTAACAGCACCTCCCAAGTATTCAGCAATAATAGGCGCACCTCGCTTCATTGCATGTTCCAAACTCTCCATTACCTGTCAAAACAAATTTTACTCTTTAAGACTCAGAAATTAGCTAGTAGAGCAGCATAACCACGCAAGACAATCATTTTTCACAAGTTTGCCATATATACTTAGTCCCATGATGGTCGCAGAGTTATTCTGCCTATGAAGCATATGTACCAGTAGAATTGGCCATTTGCGCTAACCTAGACAGATGATTAGTTTCATTTTAGCAGGAAAGCCTGAAATTCATTGCATATCCATATCAAATACAGATTTCCTCATAGCTGAGCATTACTTATATCCGAAGGTCACAATACTCAATAGTCTAAGTCAATTTTCGATATGATAAATCAAAGGAAACAATAAACATCAATATATAAATTCTATTCCCTACGCATAATTAGAATTCAGTACCAGAATAAATGCTAGCTTACCAATATTCCAGCACCTTCACCCATTACAAAGCCATCTCGTTCTTTGTCCCATGGTCTTGAAGCAGTTTTTGGGTCATCATTTCTCTGGGACAGAGCCCTACATGCAACAAAACCGCCTAACCCAATGGGAATAATAGCAGCTTCAGTCCCACCTGCTATCATTAGATCAGCCTCTCCCCTACGTATGTGGTTGGCAGCAGCATAGAAACAATAATTGGAGGTAGCACATGCAGTTGAAATAGAATAATTTGGACCCATGAATCCAAGATCAATAGCAAGCAAGGCTGAACCCATATTAGTAATTGCATAAGGAATAAAAAAAGGAGTTATTTTGCGGTATCCTTGCTCTATAAGTTTCTGAACACCATCAGAAAAGACGGTAAGACCACCCATTCCTGAACCAACAAGAACACCAGCCCGTTCCTTGTCAATCTGCACAGAGAATCAGAACTCAACAATTTAAATTCCCCGTGACTAGCCTCTCAATATTATAATATAGTTAACTATTTTTTTTTTTTAAAAAAAAGGGAACCCGTGTTGGTTGTTCTAGAGATATGATATAAGAAAAAAAGATTAAATTACACTTATAATTGTACACCGTATGCACAGAATCTCAAGCGTTCTCCAAATCCAACATGAGATTTGATAGCTCTTAGTTAAGGAAGTGCAAACCAACAAACAGATCGACAGATAAAAGGCTTTAGCAGTAATTTATACGATATCCAGGCTCGTTTTATGTGCATATTCTCCCCTACACCTACCTATTCGTTATGACGAAGTTTTTGAGTTTATTCTAAATGTTACCGAAGCTTTTTTTTTTTTTTTTTTTGCTGCTTTTTTCCCATTTCCATTGGTTAAAAACTAATGCAGCAGCTAATAGCCACGGACCAAATTCAAGATTCTTGGTCGCAACTGTTCTAAGCTGATTATGTCAGAAGATAACAGAATTACGAAACCAGAATCTTAGAGCTTGCACGAGAGCTGCTAAACATTTAAACAACAAACAAAAAGCTTCAGATCGACGACTCAGTAAGGAATTGCTAATTTTAAGTGCATTGAATTTGGACACGAGAACAATAAAGCGCATTAAGTCAAAAATTTAATTCATTCAGCTACACCCCGGAATTGAGCAGCGTAGATAAACCCACATATCACTAATCAATAAAAAAGAGTAAAAAAAAAAATACCTTGGAAAGCCTATCACCCCCAAGGTCGGCATCCTCGAGAGCCTTCTTGCCAGCAACTATGCAGTACCGAAGGCAATCATCAAGACGCCTATCGTTTTTACCATCAATGTACCCTTCGGAGTTGAAGCCTCGGATCTGTCCGCCGAACCTGGTGGGAAACTTGGAAGCATCAAATCGGTCGATTGGGCCAATCCCACTCTCACCCGCAAGAAGCTTGTCATAGTAAGTATCGACGTTGTTGCCAAATACAGAGGCAAGCCCCATTCCGGTAATAACAATCCGCTTTTTCGGGTCCTTCTCTCTCTTCGGGGCGGAAACATTGGAGGATACAGTGGCCGAGATGTAGGACACCTTGTTGGATCTTCTTGCTGTGCCATTGGACGATTTGCGAAGTGGGTCCAATGGAGAAACTCGAAGAGTTGGGGATTGAAGTGCTTGCATGGTGTTGTGGCGGCTTCAACGGCGGAGGGAGAGGATTAGCTTGAAGCTGATAACTATGAGAAGGAAGACAAGTCAGGACTGAATGTGCCGGGAGCTATCTGAGTGCCTCTAAATCGATTTCAGCTATGCTTTATATGCGATTCAGTGACTGATGTGCCGAGAGCCCGTTTAACCATTGCTAGTGACAATTACGAGGCGAGCGGAGAAACCAAACCAAGTCAGGAGGGATTATCACGCAAGTAACGTGTTTTTTATATTCATTACCAAAATCACACATTTTTTGTTGAAAACAAAATACAGATTTAATTCTATGCATCTGCATGACCTAAAAATAAGCGGCGCTAGCTTTTTTGTGTTCTTTTTTTTGTTTTTTTTTTTCAGTTAATACTCCCTAATTTTAAATTATAGGATATTTTTAAAAAAATTTTCTATCTCAAAGTATTAAACATTTTAAGTAGATTAAAGTTTCATTAATTGCATTAATTTTAATATTACCCTTCTCTCTCTATAATTAATTTACGTCCCTTTTTTTTTAATATATTAAATGATAAGTATTTTTAGAGGTTTATATTTTTTGTTTTGAAAAAATAAGATTGTTAAGTGTATTTAATTATATTTATTAATGTATGAGATTTTATTTAAAAATATTTTATAATTTGTGATAAATAAAGTATAATGGAAGGCAATGCTACAAAGAGTAAGGAAAGAGGATTAACTGATTATCATACTTTTAATTAGTTCCAGCTCCCTGAGATTCCTGTATTTTGGAGGAGGTTCTTTAATGATGGTATCTTCAACCGTCATAATATGAGCTTCTTTCGCCAACCAATCTATATATTATTTGCATTTCTATTAATATAATTATGAGAAACATTCAATCATGCATGATTAATCCTCTCATCTCTGGTTTTGAAAATCAAATGATTACTAGTGTAAAGATTGGAAATGTTATGTATCGCTTCAGTGGAGCAACCTCTAACCCAAGGTGTATTCAATCCTTTGCTAAGTTCTCTTATTCTTGTTGCAGTAGGACTTCTTCATAAAACCACAGCCCCAACTTTCATTTTCTTCCACAGAGTCTCCACAATGCTTTGTATTTTACTCCCTCCTGCTCTCATAAGTTTCCATTTGGAGTTCTTTTTAATATATATATATATATATATATAAAAATCCAATGTAAATTTTTAAGTACAATTAATACATATTTTCAGAAATAACACTGATAGAAAAGTTTAAATTATACATCACACTCTTGATATTTCAAAATGTACCATTTCTTATCACATTTAATTGAGAGTAAAAATAGAGAGAAATGAAAACGTTGGTTTGTGTATTTTTACATATCACATGATTTTGGTATATTTCATAATTCATAATTCATAATTTATGCATATTTTAGAAGGAATACATTAATAATTGATTAGTTTAGATGAAAAGACGGAAAACGTCCAAAGAAAATTTAAATAAGGAGTTTACCCCAAAAAAAAGAAGGAATATAAGAAGAGAATATTTGCACATTAGAAATAAAATGTATTTGTTATAAATTCAGTGCATGACTCAAATTAATGATTATTAAAAAATTTCAAAAGTAAACCGTTTTATAAAAATAATAATGAACATTATTAATAGTTTTGAATTATTATTCATAAATTAAAAATTATAAGTTTTTAAATTCTAGAATGATACTTCAAACTTATGAGTGTTTTTAAATAAAAAAGTTCTGGTAACATTTGAAAAACTATGTTATGTTTAGATGCATATAAATTTGAATTTAAACCCAATTCATTGTTCAAGTAATTAAAAAGTTGTAGATTTAAATTTGACCTAAATTCAAGTGAGTCCTACCTTAATTCTTTTGTAATTTAAAATTATTTATAAACCTCTATCATTTCAAATTTTTATGAAAATTTCTCCTTTCCTCTGTATTCATTCGTCGACTTTACTACTTTCCTGACTTTGACATAGTCTATTGGGATTGAACCATCAGCTCCATCAAGGACTGGACCGCTAGCAATGATCTGAACAAGACCGCCAACGACGACTAGAATTGAACAACAAACTTCAACAGGGATTAGACAGCAAGCGCTAATTAGGATCGAATTGCCAACTTTGACCAAGACCAAACTACTAGTATTGATTAGAACTACACAACTGACTTCAATCGTGATCAAACCATTGACGCCAATCAAAATCGATGACCAGGATCGAACATCTAAATATTATGTTTATCTTTACCATTTTACCTCTATTAAAAATTTAAAAAGTTATTAAATATTAAACTATTTTATTTTGAAAATGTTAAAATGACTTGTAAATAGAAAAGGTGGCAGTGGAAGTAACTTGTAAGCTGATTATTTCTGTTCCTGCCAAGTAACAACCGAAACAATTGTCCCAAAAAAATTTGATTTCTTCATCGCTCACCAAAACACAACCACCTACGGAGACACCAGCAATAACCAATATAGGCCGACTCAAAAAAGGGACTGATTTACACACACACACACACGCGCGCGCCCCACAGATTTATACATATTTATCTCTCTCCCACAAACCCACCCCGAAACATAGATTGAGATCAACCTATCATGGGTGGGTTAGTCATTTAGTTGCCGCCAAAATCTGCTATTTATGTCCAAGATAGTTGGAGGAAAAAAAAAATGGTATGGCTGTGAACACACTGAAATTATTAAATCATACTTACTCGTGTTCCTAATATAAATCACTTCTAATTCCCTATAGAAATTAAGAAAATATGGTTAAATTATTAATTTTGTTTAAAAATATAATAAACTTTTAATTTTAACACTTTTAAAATAAAAAATTTAAATTGACATTACATTCTCTCTCATAATTAATAAATTTAAATAGAACTAGTATTAGAAAAAACTAATTAATAGCTCATCAATGGCCTTATATTAAAGATCAAATAAAGACACCCTATAACAGAGACCAGATGAAATATAAGCTAAATGTGAGTCATGTATATTGCACAATATAATTATATAATTATATAAACTCACTCTCTCCGGTTGTTTATATAAGATATTTCTAACCATCTCGTGGGAAGCAATATGAGAGAGAGAGAGAAGGAGGGAGGGAGATGTTCTTGGATAGACCCAATGACCCACATTATTCATGATCCATCTAATAAAAATATGATATTTAGATAGTATTAAATATAAATTAATTTTGACATTAATGATAGTAGATAGAGTTTTGCTGGAAAAAAAAGATAGTAGAGAGATAAAATGCAAGAAATTAAATAGGCATTCTATAATAAAGATAAATCATTAAAAATAATAACACATAAAATTTTATATAATTGGAATGGTGTAATTTTATTAGATAAATCATAAATGATGTAATGTAATTGGTCCATCTAAGAACTTCTTATATACTCCCTCTGTCTAAGTTATAGGGTACTTTTGAAGGAGTTTTTTCATCTCAAAATATAAGATAGTTTAAGTAAATTAAGATTTTATTAAATGCACTAATTTTAATATTATCCTTTCTCTCTCTATAATTAATTTTCATCACTTCTCTTTTCAATATATTAAAGGATGGACATGTTGGAAAGTTTATATTTTTGTTTTAAAAATATAAGGTTGTTAAGTATATTTAATAAGATTTATTGATATATGAGATTTTATCTGAAAGTGTCTTATAATTTAAGACGGAGAAAGTAGTATTTAAATCATTAATTTTGTTTTTCTTATTAGGTGCTTAATATAGAGGAACAAATTACCACTTTCCTCATGTTCTTATTATAGGAAAAAAAATTAAAATCTCATTCTTTCATGTCTCTATTATATTGGCACCTTCTCGAAGCTTTTTTTTTGTCTTTAATATAAGGCACATTATGAGATATTAATTACATTTTTTTCAATATCACCTTATTTAAACTCATTAATTATGAGAGAATGTAATGCAAATTAAAAAAAATCATTTAAATTACAATAAAATTAAAAGTTTATTTCATTTTTAGATAAAGTTAGCAATACAGCTACCTCTCTTTGGTTCCAATAAAATAGTTAAATGTGCCTTGTAATAAAGACTCAAAACTTATTTTTTGTATAATATTTCTATTTAATTTTTTAAAATGGTGTAATCTAACTCTATTGTTAACAAAAAATTAACTTTTACCATTATTTGATTAAAAAAAATAAATTTAGAGTTCCATATGCCTCTGAACATATATCTTATGTGTTAATTTGCTCTTTCATCATTTACTTTATAATTAGAATTTTAGGGAGTATTTCCTCCCATTTTTATTACAAGATACATCTAACCACCTCACTGAAACCAAAGAATAATGGTTAAGTCACTAATTTTGTCTAAAAATATAACAAACTTTTAATGAAAATTTTTTAATTCACAGTACATTCTCTCTCATAATTAATGAGTTTAAGTATGAGTGATATTGAAAAAATTATAATTAATACCCATCAAGTACCATATATGAAAGACAAAAGAATTATTGTGGAACATGCCCTACAATAGACCAAAGAAGTATATATATTCACATCTGGATTCATAATACTCCCCCTGGATCATAATACATGGCATCTTTTAAAAGTATTACTTGATTTAAAATATTCAGTATTGTAACTTTTATAATTATTTTTTTAATTATATCCCTACTTCATTTATTATTCTTTTTGAAAAATAATGCACTAAAATTTTAATTACCATTATCAAAGTACATATGTAGGACATTTATAAGGTAAAATTGGAAAAACATAATTTTTTTTAAGAAACTAAGGTTTTAACTTACATTTTTTGACAACCATAAATTAATTATCAACGTCTTATATTTTAGGATAGAAAGCATTTTTTTGATTCTATTTATAAGACAGATAGATAAAAAAATTTGATTATATTATTTATACAGTAAAGAGAGAAGAAAAATTTTGATTATATTTATAAGGCATTTATTAATTTTCAATGCTTCTCTTTATATTTTTACACTTATCAAATGTTTTGAATAAAAACACTGATAATAAAATTTAAGAATATTTATTAGAGGTAAAGGTGAAATTTATCAAATTTTAACATTAAATTGATAAGATTTAATTTTTTTAATTCTAATTAAATATGTTAAAAATTATTTATAAATAAAATCCGAGCGAGTAATTATTAACCGAGCTCTGATCGTACTTGAGGATTGTATCAATGAAGAGTGAAAGGGAAGCATACCTGTTTGGGAGTGGAAAAGTTGG